CTGCTAAACATCAACCTGTAAGCATCGTCATTGCATGCTCAGATTGCCACTTAGCTAAAAGAACTGCTGTGCCGAGGTAGCCTCACAGAGCTGCTAGCATGATAGTCTCTTAATCTTCTTAAACAAAAAACATGAAAGAGAGAAAATGTAACAAACATAAAGTCAGCTTTAACAGACTTAATATTTCTTAAACCTTTTCCTCACTTGACACACAACAATGGAAAATGTTGCCATAAGTACCAGGCTGATGAGGGGCAACAAAACAGCATTAAATTAAGGTTAGACAAGCCATTTATGTCCGTGCCCCCCCCTTCACTAAACGCAACCCTGAGCTAAATGGTTCTGCTACAGTAACATAATGTCTTCTGGCAAAGTGAAAACCCTCAAGTATTCAATGATAATAATATCAAGAGCCACCCGGGGATCAAGTTCAGGTGCAAGTTGTACATGTGCTGCCGCCACACATTATAGCTGAATAATCTGATCACTCTCCTCGTGGATCTTGGAGAGAAAATAACAAGAAGACAAATGCGCTCCCGTTTTCTATCTAATTGCCTCTGCAGGAACACCTAATCTAAGAAGGATACGTATTTATTCAAAACTATGGTGTTGGTGGTTCAATGTGCTGCAAACAAGTTTAAAATATTCCTTTTCCTTCAGCTGTAACGTCGAAAAACAGTTTTTGATCTTCCAGATATGAATCCAAATGACCAGGTGTGTTATGTGAAAAACTCAGCGTGGTATTTCAGATCACAAATACATTTGTTCCTTTGAAAAAGCCCAGGAAGATCAAACAAATAATTGGGCATTCTGGGGACAATAAAAAGGTAACAAATTGCGCTGTCTGCATGTGAGGAAATCTGCTTCACACATCCTAACATTAAATTACTCCTCGACATTGTTTTACATTACAAAGTTCTTGTATCACTCTTACTCATATGGCATATCAAAGTATTACAGCCCTCAGAGGAGTGATCATCCACACCATCATCTCAATCATTAAAAGTCAGGGAAAGTAACTTTTAATGACATGTTCCCTTGTTATTCTACTAGAAATAACTAGAAAATAATTGTGTTTTAAAGTCCAATGTTAGAAACCATTCACTGACCTAGAAACTATAGAAAGTTTCTCAGCATGTGTTAAATATTTATCTCAAACCGGCTCTCTTATTACTTACCCTTACAGGGTCATGTCTTTGCCTCTTAGTTATAATGCTCGACCAAATATCTCAGAATGTACAGATGGACATGATATTCTCTGGGCGGGTAGGCCTTGAGCCAGAGAACCATTGATTACATTTTGGTAGTGCTCCAGATCTGGAATTTCCACCATCAGACAGTTATTGTTTTTAATCCATAACTATGAATTTACAACAGATAGAGGCTTGATTACAAATGCTGAGGGTATGTCTGCAGGGTTTAGGAATCAATTTAAGGTACAAATGACACAACAGGGATGATGTCATTGTGAAGCTGTTGTGCGGGCAAGTTTTGGCGGAGCTTTGCGGTCTTAAAGCCCTTCTCAGTTTGATACTATTAAGCCTGATGCCTCTATGAGTCTGGGCTTCGGCCAGGTTTAGAGAACTGCAGGACAAGAAAATCATGATCACAGGGCGGGATGTGCTTTTAATGTTTCTCATTTTAATGAAGTTTGCTTTCCATTCTTTACCCCTGCCTCCTGATTCTTTGCAGGAGTAGTAATTGCCTTACAGGGATTCTGGGGCAGCGCAGTAGCGAGACACTGCATTAGATATCCATCTATGCCTCTGTTCCTGGGGTAATTAAGGTTTGATGTCACCTCAGGAGATATTGTGGCTCCTCAAACTAGCCGGCTTTAGCAATCTGCGTCGCAGTGTAGGGGGTAATTCAACGACAGACTAAGCCAGAGCGCTAGAGTTAGGAAAAGTGCCTCATGTCCTCCTGAGTGAACCTGTCTGAGTTCATTGGTATTGTTTGGGATGACAGAGGCATAATTGTTGAAAGACAGGGGCTATTTTTGTCTTTATTATGGTGCTGCAGAAGGAAATTACACTGTATCTGCAACAGCCATTAGGCTAGGGTCATTTTAGAAGTGAGTCCTCTACCATTCAAATATTAATGCTATATAGCCGTCTGTTGTCAATCTAATTACTTGGAGCACACAGCTAATGAATGCCATTAAAGAAGTGAATAGCATTTGTTTCCCATTTTTTCCAGATATGTTGAGACTAAACATTATATGCATGGTAAAAATTATAGAAAATGAAGGCTTAGAATTATCCTTTCAGTTATGATATCGCAATAAAGCATGAAATCTATATAATGAAGGCAGCCGTATATCCCAGTTGGCTCCATCACAACCACAACAACAGTTAATTGCTTCGTGCCTGAGACGGCCTCTTCAACTACTTTGGAATATGGTCTGACAGCACCCTGTCCTTCCAACATAAAGTGAAACCACAGTTGGGGCTTTGCCTTTTAGATCAGAGCCGTTCTTCTCTTTCTCTGTGGCGAGTGGGGCAGGCACTGAGCTCTGGTTAGGGGGTGCAGGGAGCCAAGAGTGGTCCAACCAGTCAATGCGGGGAGTCTGATTACCATTTTCTTCCTATCTGTGTGTTTCTATGACCAAAGCAAACGTCTTGGTGAGTGCTTGAATGACAAGAGCACAACACAAGAATGGCAAGCTGCAAAGACTCTTGAATACAAAGACCATAGCCCTGTAGCCCCAAGGGAGGAGCTGTGATCTATTTACAAAACTGTTGGGCTCTGTGATAAGTAACAGCAACAGAGTCAAACACTGGTGGTGCATGCTGGTGTTGTTGCCGACATGAAAGCAGCTCAAGAAAGAACCAGAACTCATCTACAGCGTGTCTTCCTGACAAGATCTGTCTCAGACTATCTCTGCCACTGCAAATCACCCTTCCACTGTTAGATGAGGGTGATGCGCTACACATATCAGCCTTTCAAAGGTGTGTGTGTGTGATTGGTTACATGTTTTAAGGTGATGCTTAGGTTTGATGCCGGTGCTTCTGACAAGTCACAGTCACGAGTACAAATCCTCTGTAAAATATCTGCAGAAAAAACTCTTAACTTGTGCTGCTGTTTAGCTCCATAGCCCGTCTCAGCTTTTTGTCCTTGATGAATACCTCATTGAAACACAGACAAAACATTCTAGTGTCTTCTCAAGAGGGCAAAATATGCTTTTTTAGTCATTGCTTTGTAGAATTCAGATCTGAGAATTAGACCCACATCTTAAGCGAAAATGTAATTGATCCAATCTCAATATCTCCTTGACAAGTTTTGCTCATTGGTTTTTCATTCATGCTTTCCAAAGTCTTTGGTGGAGCTTATTTACCAGTCTATGTCAGATGAAACAGAGCTATTTTTGGCGTTTTTGTCACATCTGTTACATCAACATACCTGACATGTTCCCTCATATGCTCCATGATGTTCGGCTGTAGCCAATTTTTGTGATCATGTCACCACTTTCCTCTGTGCCCTGAAGAAGATCCTTTATATATAGAAGCCATGTTTATGCTTAAATACTCATGAATCTGATATTCAGTTAAAGGTTGCTGATTTTGAACTAGCTATGAAAACATTTCTTTCAAATTTTGCTGAAAAATATAGTTGAAGGATTGACTTCTTTGACCTTTAATATGTATGATTTATTGTATATATCTTTAAATAAATTTAACAATCTCATAGATTCTTGTCATATTTTAATATAAACCATTGCTAGTGATGTTGTGCCATGTTTTTGTATTCTTAAACTAATTCAAGTATGTTAATTACACAAAATGTAGTTATTGAAATAACTAAAAATTTAAAAAGGACACACTAGCATTTGTAGTTCGACTCCCCAGCATGTCAACAACACAAAGTATCTGACTAACTGTCCTCACAGAAACAAACTAAAGTATGTTTTGCCCAAATCTGAAGCACGAAACCTCACAGCCCAAAGCTACCAACCATCCACGGAGTGACGTTCCCTGCCTCCGCTGCCCCAAGCTTCTGATTTTCTTGATTTTCCAGATAGCTGGTTCAGCCTGTCCAAAAACCAAATGAGAGAGCGAGCACTAGAGTGTTTGTGACAGGAGGAGACACACGAGGAGAGGTGACATATTTTACTGTCATTATGTTTGCAGAGTCCTCACTAGATGGCAGTGTAGTGTAGGAATATAGTTTGACAAGTTTTACCAGAGATGGCATCATTTTAGAAACTTTCTGTGTGTGTGTGTGTGTGTGTGTGTGTGTGTGTGTGTGTGTGTGTGTGTGTGTGCGTGCGCATAGGTATAACAAAATGCAAAACTGCTCAAAGTTATAGCGGTATGGAGGAAGTGTCTGAGTCTCACCATTTGGATGTTTATTTTAATAACTTGTCTTCATCTGACTGTGACCTTTGACCTCCCTGGGTGCACTCTTTGGCTGGGGCCATTCTGTGGGTGTGGTTCAGTGGTTGCTCAGGAAATGAATGTTTTATCAGCCTGTGCAAAGACAACAACAACAGCGTAGTGGAGGAAAAGAGAAAGGTCTATATTTGACTCATCAGCTGCTGCCAACTTAAATAAAATCATCAGAGGACAGTTTCCTGTTGGCTTCTCTTCCAAAACATCTGGATTTTTATTAGATGGATAAAATCTATGTTTATCAAGAACATAAATATTATAGGTGTTATATTATAGGTTTCACAGCAGAGTCTTGTTGAGCCGGAATCTGCACAATGAGCTAACACATTTCAGTCTCTGGTGTTTCTTGATGTAGTTTTTAGGCGCTCTTATTATTTTGATAAGACAAACAGCACCCAGACCCACCTATCATGGGCATGCATCCCACATACACTGCCTGATGTATTCGGGAGGTGCAGTAAAGAGGGAAAGCAGCACATCCTACTCACTCACTGTTAGAGAGTATGTGGGAGGAGGTGATAGCGGGCAAGCATTCACTGTGTGCAATGTCCTCCTCGACGGCGAAATTTAGAAACATGAAGCACGCTCAATATGCAGAGGAAAAATATGCCTGGCAGGAAATTGCTGCAGTTTTCCTCCATTTATGGTTGGATACAGATTTACTCGTAACCCCTGCTTAATAAAGTATTCCCTTTTTTTTTTTTTTTTATCTAGTTGAATTGCTTTAAATCGTGTGATTTAGGGAAAATACACTACTACAAAAAAGGATCAAGCATACATAATAAATGTCGGGGGTGAAGGCTTGTCCCTCCCATTTCTTCAGTTGAGTCCAGTCGAATCTCAAAGTTTGGTCTCCAGAACCTCCTCTGACAAGTTACCCTGCTTTCCTGTGAGAATAGGCAGCCGCCGTCACAGAGGAGCCGAGGGAGTTCAGGAGATCAGAGGCAAAGCAGCAGTTGCCTCTCTTGTGGGAAACCAGATGACCCTCTTCAAAGTGATAATGTAAACAGCTAGCAACTGCTGGAACCGTGGGAGTTTGAAGTAAAACCCGAGGAATTCTCCTGCAGGATAATTTTAAAAACGAACAACACCGTAAGTTGTATTCTTTTTTTTAATCTTTTTATCTTATTGAAACAGCTGTTTGCTGGAGCTAAGAACAAAGCACATAAATTGTGTAGCATTGTGCAATTGTGTGATCTGTGGGGTTTGAAGCTCTGGGAAGGTAAGAGGTTATTTTCAATGCGCTGTTAGCAGATAAAGGGCACTTTACATAATACAGGTTTTTGTGAGACAATTTCCGAAATATCAAGATATGGTGTATATGTATATTTCTGTGCATTGCCTTTTTTTTTTGCATTAAGAATTGCTTACGTCTATTTTTACAGCATTCTCAAGATCAAACATTGTGGTAGATCTTCATTGCTAAACTAGCCTGTCTTGCAGCTGCACTAACTCCAGCTGCAGAGGCTTTAAACAGCTGCTTTCACTTAATGGCACCCCTAGTAACATGAACAAGCATTTGTTGACTTTAGATGTGGGGCTCGGGCAGAAACAGGATTTCATAATACGTGTGCCTGGTGATGTGAGTTATAGACAGCCGTAAAACGGAAAAGGCAGGTCGTGACCCAGACCGTTTCACCCGTGCAATGGATTGTTCCTGTTTTAAATTTTATGAATTTTACGTTAGATTAAGTTTTATGATGTCATCAGCTTGTCGCTCAGTGACTTTTATAATAAATGGAATTCTTTTACTGCACTCAATTTGGATACTTTTTAGTTCGCAGTAAATTACAGGTTTTTGCATAATGTTAGAGGTTTACAGGAATTTTATGGCATTACTAAATTGAAAACACTTCCTTTTTCCAAGGGTGTTGGTTACAAGGTGACACATATGAGGGATCTGTTAGCTCGACCACCACCTCAGCCTTGAGTAAAAGTGAACCGCACACTAACCCACTAGATCTCCAACATGGATGCCATCCAAAGACAACCACTGTAGGGACTACAGCCAGCTCCTCCACTTAGGTAAACAGTCTATTTCCACACCACTGCAGTATGTGTGTGTGTGTGTGTGTGTGTGTGTGTGTGTGTGTGTGTGTGTGTGTGTGTGTGTGTGTATGTATGTCTACATGCATGTGTGTCCCAATGCGGTTCTACACCCAAAATCTGCGAAGGCACCGATCCAACTGTAACAATGTAAATTGTTTCAGGTTCAAAGTGTGCTCTGTTGTTGCCACCCACCCTGCTGTGGGAGTGTAGCAGGGCCATTTTTAGCAAGTCGGGATATATTCTGTGTGAAGTTTTCAAAACAATGGCATTGTACATTGGAGTACAAGTTCCCTTTTCTCTCCAACCACCCCAAGGTCAATGCAAAAGCAAGTTTGACTGAATGTAAATGTGTATTTTAACGTACAGCATTCCTGGAAAACTACAGTAGGACAAGCAGCTACGCCCTCTTTGCTCAGTAACAACAGTAAATAATGCTCTGATAAGTCATTTAAATTGTCCAAATGTCCATCAAGTTAGACAGTGCCTCACAAATGATAAACACCAAGTGAGCCACATGAACAGAATGATATCAACTTACTTATACTGTCTGCATAACTCGGTCAAAAACATGTACTCTCTGTGAGAATTTAGGGTTTTACAGGTATGTAACATGTGGTCTACAACTCTTTGTGGTCCATGATCACATTCAGGTTTTTAAAGGCAAACTATGTGCAGCTGTGTTGGGTAGACTACTGGTCAAATTATAGCTAATTATTTAGAAACAAATTTAAGCCTCACAGATTACTGTGCTGCCATATGGCTCCAAACAATCTCACTCTCAGGGCAGCGGGTCAGGTTGAGTTGATAAAAAAGGTGCCTAGCAGTGGCCAGAGTGTAATTACCAGAAATGGTTATCGGAGAGGGGGCTGGCAAAACTCTGAAAGGGTTGTGGCCAATATTTGTGGCCAGATGTCTGTAGTTGGAAAGGAAACAGTTGCGATTTCAATCTTGTAGGTAATCAATACAGAATGGCTGTAATTAATGAGGGAATACAATGACCCTTTCCTTCGTGCTTTAATCACAAGGAAGAACAATCAGTCAAAGGAGGCAGAGAATAACTAGAGTTATTCTCTGCTTCTCCTCATTGTATTTCCATGAACTGGTGGAGTTCTATTTTCTATTTCCATGCATTTTTCAGAGAACAGCCTCTTGTCTGTAAAAGTGGACGTTATCTGGCAGAGATTCGCTCTCCTCCTCACGTCAGCCTCAGACAAGAGACAGAATAAGCATCGGTTACCACGGCAACAGTGCTGGGAAAAAGCCGAAGACAAAGTTGTCATTTTTTTTTTTTTTTCCTCCCTCCACATCAATCATGATAAAAATGTACATCTGTTGCTCTGCATGTTTGCAGTACTTTCTGAGTGGTTCCCATTGTCTGTTCATTCATCGTTCCCAATAACAAAGATCCACTGAAAACTCCGCTCTGTATTATTCTTCTCATGCAGTACTTTGGTGACATTTGCGGTATACCTGAGACTGAGAGTACCGGCTGAATTTAGACTTTCATCCGGCAGCTTGAAGACAACATTCTGCAGATTCCAGAGAAAGAGAGAAACTGTTTCTTTTTCCTTCCACAGAATCTTACAGCTGAAAAATAGGTGATATAATCTAACGAATTAATTCAGTCATAATATCCAACGAACCAAACACTATCACCCAAAGCCGGCTTTGTTGTGGTCCGGTACTTATACTGCGTTGTAATGCGTTTAAATTATTATTAACGACTTCAGTCCAGAAGAGATATCAAAAAATTGTGGGGGAAAATGAGACATGGAAAATTATGAATGCTGTTGTTTGTTGTTTTTTTTGCTTAGAGCTTGCAATATTTTAACCGAACAATAATCATGGGATAGCTAGTAGATTAGAGAAAGAAGAGAAAGAAAGAAAATGTAAAACATTTAAAGGTAAACTTCATCAATTCGATGACGAAACATGTCACGAGGAGTACTACTCAACCTGTGAAACAGTTGTACAACGTCTATGTTAATGAGCTTTTTTCAAATTTGAGAACATGACCTCCATGTTGTCATCAGCTTGGACTTAGAGGCAACAAATGTTTAACAATTTACAAAGTCTGTTTTATAAGTTGGGGTGTGACAGACATGCCCTGTTAACAGGCAGCGAGGGTTCTAATGAAAGAATGAAACACACTATTAAGTTGCATCATGGGAAGTATAGGGACTAGGGACTAAAAGTCAAGATATCTGCAGCTCAAATGGATCCCTTTTCTCTTTCACTCACAAGTCCTCAAACTTTAGAGAGGTTCACTATTCACTGTAATAAAATGTATATCTAATAGCACAATTCATGTTTTTGAACATCAGTTTTATTAAATAGGTAAATCGTCAATTGCTTTTAATGGTCCTGTTATCCACTGATCATTAATTTCGGAATATTCTACCTTTTACATTTCATGCACTCCCACACATTATTAATAGCCTATGTCACTCTACCAATTTGTAATGTTGACAAGAGTGGAGCTGGTACTGTGAGCCTTCAGTGGCCTCCTCTACATTCTCCCTATCTTTACTTAACAGTCTGTATCATGTAAGATCCGTCAGCTTATTCCAGTTCAGAGAAACCGAATACAGCACCAGCCAGCGCCGTCATAAACCCAAACCCATGAGCAGCAGAGACGAGAGCAAACGACAGGAGGGAGAATCTGCGGGTCAAAAGGTGGCTTCATGCATCCCTGCGTTTTCAGTCCAGCATGCTCTGCCTGCCACAGTGCCAGACTTTCTTAAGCTCAACCAAAGTTCAACCACAACACGGTGCTGATCATTAGTCTCTACTGATGTCTCTCTCTCACATGTTTAACCGTGGATTCAGGCAGCATTTGCGTGTCTGCATGTGGAGGTTATTTCCAGTAGAGTAGCAGGTTTGTGACAAGACAAAGGTGTGCTTTTGTCTGCGGACATCATTATCCTCAGCAGTAATCTGTATGAATGAGACGTCGACTAATAACACCTGACATTTGGTCAATGCGTCCAAGATAGACTGCCCTCGCTGAAAAGTTCAAATAGTCAGCAAGAATGCGGGGGCTGGCGGGTGGGAGGATGTTGAGTGTGTGTTTAGTGTGTGTGTGTGTGTGTGTGTGTGTGGAGACATTTAAGCTTGTACGTGGTTTCGGTGGGAGCTCTGCCAGAAACAGGGAGGCAGGGTTTCAGGGTTTGAGGGTTCACACAGCTCTGGAGTCAGGAAGTTCTGCTTTTCATTACATCAACCCATATGTCCACATTACTGCTCCGCCTCCCAGACTCCACTCTATGTCCTGGCACTGTTATGTCAGTCAGACTCTCTCTTGCTCCTAAAATCTAGATATTTGTGTGTCTGATCGTGTGTGATTAAAGGGCTAATAACTCTGGCAGGGGGGCAGGGGGCTGAGAAAACGAGAGATTCCAGAGTTGCATTCACTTAATATTTGAATATTGCTACAATACTCTCTAAAGAGAGACCGGCTGCAGCACGGCAGAGAAGAGTTGAGAGGTGGTGAGAAGTGAGGAGGGATCCTTTCTCAGCAGGATAAAGCTGCACAGCTTCACATTCGCTTTAATCTTGATCTTATATACCGTTTACAGTTAGAGGGCCAATTTATTTGCTTGAAGAAAAGCAGCGTGCAAGTATTTCCTGAGGCTCCATTAGCTGGTGTTATTATCGCTATATTATCATGAGATGATCTTATGTGCTATTTGACTCCCAAGAACACAAAGCCAGCACATTAAGTGACGATCATTTTGCTGTTAGAAGTGACCGAGTGGTGGACAAATATGTCTGATATAATTCAGTGTGTTGCACATGACTTATTACTTAGAATCATAATGTATTCATGTATTTGGCACATCAAAGTGAGCAGGGTACACTGTGTTTGTGGACTCAAGTCTAAAGTGAATAAAAGAAATCAGAAATATGATTGTGTTTCCTCCGAGAGAGAACATCTGTGTTTCATTGCTTTCTTAAAAACCAACTTCCTATATTTTTGGAAATCTTTTTTTCTGGTGGAGGCCCTCGCTTTTAGAGGGAAGCACTTGTTGTGGCTTTGAAGTGCTCTGTTTTGTTTTTGGCTGGGCCATGTAGCTTTGATGCAAACCTCCACTGAGGGGCTGTGGTAAACACACAGGAGCCTCAGTTATTTATGACATGAGGTGGTAGAAGTTAATGAATCACACACACACACAACAAAGACCGAAAGGGAAAATAAATCACCAACTCTGGCGGAAACTGTAGCAATGTATTACAAGTTCCTTTGTGGGATATTAGGGATACCAGAGAAACACGGTCGCGAAACTACACGCGCGTACGGGCGAGCTGCAGTGTTGTTGTAAAGAGCCTAAAAAGCTGTAGGCTGATCCTGAGTGGCCATTCCTTTGTCCCGCTGCATACATAAGGCCCGGTGGTGGGTGGATAAGTGAAGTCACATGGTCACTTTTCCTTTTTTCCCACACAAACACACCCACATCCTCCTCCATGCAGCCACTCTTCTTCATCTCACTACTCTCACCCGCAGCAGGCAGTGTGCTCCGTGTGCGCGTACTGTAGCGGCACCAAGTTGCGCTCTTTTCCCCACTATGTCTCCGAATCGGGAATAAACGTTCGTCTGATTATCCTGGAGCCTCTGTCGGGGGGAACAGGTCGACACCACATCGCCCGGAGTCACTTAATTCACCAAGTGAGCACTTTGTTTCAGGTAATTACCAACTTACAGTAACAGTTTTTCCTCCTCGTGGGTTTGTGTTCGCTTTGTTTTTTAAGGGAGCGTGCACACGTCTCAAAGTGTAGCTTCGGCTAACATGCCCCTCCTCCTCCCGCCCGGTACTTTTCGTAGTGCAAATGGTTTAAAGTTGTAATTTGACGCCATGCACCGGGTGTTCTGGATAACAGGCTACTGCAAGACCGTCGGTGGAAGTTTGCATTTGGTTTGGTGGAGTTGAAACGAGTTCATTTTGGAGGCCCTGGTGTAATGTAGTCCTGGCAGCGGTCGCCTGTATCCATCCACCCCCACGTCCAGGTACCAAAGGTGCTAACTGCTATTCAAACTGGCTAATTCACACGAGGCCTACCTTTGTTTACTGTTGCTTTATAGCTGCTGGAGGACCGGTAGAAGTGGGGAGACTTCCCTCTGCTTTCATCTCACACTTTTATGACTTGGCCTCCATCTGTGTAGAGACAGTGAGCTTCTTAAGCTGCAAGACACAAAGTGAGAGAAAACTTAACCTGTGAGAACGAGAGGTGTTGTTGATGTCCACATGCATTGCTGTGTTATTGAGTTGTAATTACTATTGTGAAAAATACATGCAGCTGCAGTGACTATAACTCTTTTTTTTTTTTTTTTGCACATCAACAGCTTTGTGCTCACAGAGCAGCATCAATCATAAGAGAACGTCCTCCTCGCTTTTGTCCCTATCCTTGTAATTACATGAGTCACCACAGAAACCATACAGCATCTTTTCCCTGGTGAAACAACAACCCGTTGCCTTGACAGCCCGAATGTGAAGCAAGCCGTGATGTTTCATCTTTTTTGTTACAGATCCCAGAGGACGAGTAGGAGGCTGCGCAGCGAAAGACATGAGCCTGGTGGAGGTGAGGCAGACGGCGGGGTCTCTCACCCTGGCCCTGTCTAACAACAACGACCCCAAGGAGCGCTACTTCGACCGCGCGAACGAGAGCGACCCCGAGTACCTGCGCGGCAAGAACATGTCGCCGGACCTGAGGCAGGACTTCAACATGATGGAGCAGAAGAAGAGGGTCACCCAGATCTTGCAGAGTCCAGTATGTAGCCCGCGGCTCCGTATAAGTGCCCTCCTACACACAAGCTCTCAGCGTGTATGAGTAATAAACAGAGACAGAGAGGCACCTTCACCCGAGACCGACTGAAATGTTATTTTTCTGTTGGCTTTATTAGTCTTGCACAATATTAAACTGCAAGATATCTGAACGAAACAAGGCCTATAAACGGGCATTGTCACTATTTTCTGACACTCGAGCAGCTCGAGCCATTAACCGGTAATCGACGTATTCATTGGTTGTTGCCTCAATCGTAGAATTCTCCTCTCACTCTGCGCCCACATACCGCAGGAGACAATATCTCACAAACAGAGCAGTGCAGTCTGGTTAGATGAAGTGCGAGGAGGAGCAAACAAACACATGCCAATGAAGTGCATGGAACTAAGACGAGCTCACACTCTGTGATTGCATAACGGGCCCAACAAGTGGAGCTCATCTCATCACCATGGGAACTATGGTTGGATGAAGCAGAATGCTGGAGCTTAGCTGCAGCACATAGGAAGAGAGGGAAAAAAAGTGCCGTTTCAAGACTCTTGAAGGCAAAAATTGATTGTACGGTTTAATGCGATCCCTCCTGCTTCTAGTCAAGTCCTTTTCACAGACACACATAAAGAGGTTTCTAGCTGTCTTTGGTGATTTGTTTACAGATTTAATAAGCGGTGCTCCCTGGCACCCTGAGGTGTTGAAGTGAGATTAGGTTGTGTTTATAGTGTTGCTAGGTTAATTGAGCCTCTCTTCTTTTGTCTACAGGTGTTTAAAGACGAGTTGGAAGGCCTGATTGAGGATCAGATGACCAAGGGCAACAACCCTACAGGTCTTCTGGCTCTGAGACAGATTGCGGACCTGGTCATGGCCAGCACCTTGGGAGGGGCCGGCCCTCTGACTTCGCCCATCAGTGAGTAGCAGTGTGTGTGTGTGTGTGTGAATGTCTCCAATCTCGTCATCTATCTCCCTTTCGGGCCTGATTGTCATTCAGCGTGTCTGCGTGTGCATTATGCAGGCTGAATGTCTTCATTGTCAGACTCCTGTGACACTGAACAACAACCCTCGAAGCAGCAGAGGAGGCAGAAAGCTGTTTACAGCATTCTTCATTGTCAGTGTTCCTATTAAGTAGCCAGCCCTCATGATCCGTCTTGGTAATGATACAGCAGTTTTTGATGTGGATTATGTTAGCCAAAACCTCTTTTGTGTCTTGTGGAGGTCACAGAGCACCCAGAACTGAAAAGATCAATTTGAAAAAGACAATCAAATCTGTCATTGTGAGGGGAAAATGTCACCGTCGGAAATGTCTATGGGGTTGCGGAGCCAGAGCCTCTCTTTAAAAATCTGAAGTGGCTGTAAAAGATATGGTCCTGTATCATTAAGTTCCCTTTTATGGTGTTCCAGCCCAAAAATACCCTTCGGTTTCTCGATGGGAATTCTGAGAAAGACCCTTTTTTAAGCTCCAGCTGTAGAGACTCCCTTGGATGTTTGTACTTTATATACTCTAGAAGAAAACCATGTAAACATCCTTCAAATTTAATGTTGTTGTTGCACCAGAAGTTGCTGATGATGTTATGTCTTGTGACAGGCATTGGGATGGTGACTCCAGTCAATGACTTGTTTGGCATTGAGTCTCCCTCCTTTGCCAAAGGGGAGAAACAGAGTCGCTGCAGGCTGGCCAGCCTCTACAGGCTTGTTGACCTCTTCAGCTGGGCTCGTTTTACAAGCTCCTACAATACTGTGAGTACAACTTCCCCTTCACGACTTCTAGCCGCTCCACTGCACATCTGCTTGTGTATGCCGCACAGGGTTTGTGTAACTTTGTGTGTGCCTCGTGTTTTCTGGCTACTGGGAGGCTTAAAAGGGGGAATACCTCTTAATTTTCAGAGCCCATATATTATTCATGGTTTGGAAAAGTCCGATTTGAGAATGTGTACAGCTCCCCAACAGCAAGAACTCAAACGGAAATATGCGATGAACACCTGCGATTTCAAGATATAAAGCTCACATTTTCCCCAAAGACAAAAGCCTAGAAAGTCAGTTTTTATCAACCCACACACTTATTTTTGGATTTTTCAGAGTGAAGAGAGCTTTCCTTTGTCGTTCAGAGTTTCCTGTACCCTTGAATCTATGAATTGGTTGTCCCTGCTCCAAGTAGCTGTTAACCCAGCTTAAATAACTTTTTAACAGTAGAGATTTGGTCTCCTGTGGCTTTGGTGCTTTTGGACCCTGACAAGAATAACTGTACGAGGGAAACACTCCTGCAGAAGCATTATACGGGTCAGAAAAACACACACATATATATATATAAATATATATAGTCTTAGATTCTCCTGCCCCATCTTAGCCAACATTGATTATACACTGTAGTATCATCGCAGACATTTCGGAATGTCTCATTTTCTTCATTTCATTGTAACCTAGATAGGTTTTGGATTTTAATAATATGTTCATTGTGCTTTAGGTGCGTGTCACTAAAGAGCAGGATCATGTTCTTATCAGTCCACGAGGTCTGTCTTTCGCTGAGGTGACGGCAGCAAATTTGGTAAGCACAATGACTGTTTTGTTGTCATATTCCCATCATGAGTGCAGACTGCTTTGCCATGGAATTTCAATGAAAAAAATCGCTTGACAATGATACCATCATGTGTTGTTATGTGTGGCTCCCTGTTTTATTCGTATGTCATGAATGCCCCCACCAGGGAGGCATGGCACATCAGTATAATACGCTGCATGCAGACACACACGCATGTAGGTGACGCAATACACATAGTAATAGGCAGAGGCAAGAGGCAGGGAAGGAGGAGACTGCTAGTGAGCAAGCATGGATGTAAATGATGCCGGTTCCCAAATATATTGAAGGGAGAAACTAAATTGCAGCTGTTTTATGAGGGAAGAAGTACAGCTTTGTTTGTTTACAAGAAAACTCCACAGGGTACCTTTAATGGTATTTCAAATTATTCCGTCTTTTTCTAAAATAATGACTTTTTTTCCTGCCATGTTTAGGTGAAAGTAAACATAGTCGGTGGGGTGGTGGACCAGGGTTCTACTGATCTGAGCATCGACCACTTTGGGTTCGCTCCTCATGCTGCCATTTACTCCATGCGCCCCGACGTGAGATGCATCGTTCACATACATACCCCCGCCACAGCTGCTGTAAGTACACTCCAGGCGATATTAAACGAGCTTCAAGGCCTACAAGCTGCTGCTAAATGCTTATTTGGCAACAGAGGGAAAGGATGAATTAAAAAGCAGCCCCCTGCTATTTATTTCAGATGCAGACACCCTGTTACGTGCTTTCACCATTTCCTTTGAAGCGAGGCTGTAAAATGCACAACACATGATGAACATCGCGGTGTAAAGTTTTATTTGTGCCTGATAGCGGGAAAAAAAAATGTGCTTATATTTATATGTTGGTGCGTTACGGTCTTACTTGCTTTTATCCCGTGTTAACAGGTGTCCTCGATGAAATGTGGAATCCTGCCCATTTCCCAGGAGGCTTTGCTTCTGGGAGACGTGAGCTGCTTTGGTTACCACGGCAGCCTGGATAATAAAGAGGAGAAGGTGGAGTTTCAGAAAGCTCTGGGCCCGAGTGCCAAGGTACTGTCAAACCAAGGGACTCCATTAGTGACAGGCTCCCTTTATCACGGGATAGAAGGCTTTCAACTCCTGGTTGGAAGTCGTGAGTTATTACGTCATACTTTATGCACAACTGGAAGGGAAGCGTGTCACACAAATCATGCGTTGTTACTCAAATTTAATCCGTTTTTTTCTTCTGCTAACTAACCGTGAACATTTTGTCTCAACCACTTATCAATTACATAAAGAGAAGAGAACATTAGAAACACCTTTTAATCAGATAGTTTAGCATTATGCGAAATGCACTTCTTTCGTTTCAATTGCTGAAAGTTAGATGATACGATGAATATGAAGCTAAAGCCAGGAGATGATTAGCTTAGCATAAAGACTGGGAGAAGCTACCAGCCTTTACAATGTGAGCGTGGCATCGATCTTCTTATTTAATAACTCCCACTAGAAAGCGAATAAGCATATTACTCATTTGCATACGTGACGGGGACAGGATATTAGAAACACCTGTCGACACCGTCTATTCAGCTCTTGGTGCTCATATTTTGACCCGAGGGTGAGAAGCTAGCTTAGTTGATTGGGAAATTAGTCATGGATTTCACAGTTCAAAATAAGCAGAAGGGCACAATGAGCAGTATTTGGTTTAAGATGATAAGATTGTATCAACACTACGGGTGCCGTGTATGTGGATAAGGGATTATTTGCTAATTAACACGCACACATTGATGTAATTAATGTGTTAGTATGTCTGGTTATGCTATAGTATTACCTCAGCTGGATTTGTTTAGCGCTTCATAGTGATTATGGTGTTTTTTAGGTGATGATCCTGAGGAACCATGGGCTGCTCGCTTTGGGAGAAACCGTAGAAGAGGCTTTTCACTACGTGTACCACTCACAGCAAGCGTGTGAAATCCAGGTATAAAAAGCTTGACACTATTATTCTTGATGCTACCTCTTCCCGGTAATGTAATATCATTTGCCATAATTTGGCCAGAGCAATTTCTGAACCTGAATGTGGCCTAGATAGACCTTTACACAGTTGTACACTAACTACATGTGTTTAAATCACTTTATTATTACTATCACCAGCATTTTTTAAACATTTTGCAAACTTTTTTCATTTCTTCTACGAATGAGTCAGACTTGGTTGCAAATAGCAAAGTAATACTGCAGTGCCTGAAATGAAAAGCTGATGTCTAACATACAGACTGTTTGAACAAAGCCAAGTCAAATATGTGATAGAGAGCGCTGTTTAGAGCCAGAACCAGGTGGAACCCTGCCGTGTTTCTGAGAAACTCCTGTTGTTTTGTCAGGGAAGCAGTCGGCTCGTTTCTCCATCATTCTGGACTGTATTTGTTTTTGACACATATTGAAAGCCCATATGTCTTATAATTACATTTCTTTTCAAATGAAAATCCTACTGTATCTGAGAAGAGAAAATACGATGTTTTGATATTGCAGAATTGAAATGAATTAATGACGGTAAACCGTGAGTAACTTGCTACAGAACAATAATATGGCTTCTTGTAACTCCTAAAGTAAAAAATGTGTACACCAGAATAATTGAGTTGCCTTTGTTCAGGTGAATGCTTTGGGGTGTTCCGGCAGCGTGGACAACCTGGTGCTCCTGGACAGAGAGAAGTTTAAACCCCTGACCCAGGGAGTGGCCGCTGCCGGGTTGGTGATGGACAACGAGGTCAAGTGGAAAGTGGGCGAGGCCGAGCTCGAGTCTCTCATGAGGATGCTGGACAACCTGGTGAGCGAACCCTGACCTGTGCCTTTTACCCATGATGCTTTGAGTTTCCTGTGCAAGGCGCTTCCTCAGGAAGTATCTGATTAGGGAACACAATGAAGCTAGATATGTTTTCGTAAAATCGAATCTGGTAAGAAATGTGTAATTGGATCAGTGTTTTATGTTTTTATGTAATTCCTTCGCAGATACTCCCGTAATACATGTTTTTCATCTGTTACCAACATGCTGTCTGCAGGTTAAAGATGTTGGTGCCGTGCAGTGCTGCCCTACTGTCAATTTAAACCCCGCTAGCCCGCCGCCACGACCACACTTCTAATGACAAGGCCCTGACATGTTCTGTGGACACAGAAAATGTCAGACTGTCTGTTTGACTGTGCGTCTCGCTAACAAGTGTGTGGCTGGAGTGGGCTGCAGCTGTGTTAGCTCTGTGTGATCGTAGCCCGCCCACATCTTTCAATCATAGCTTCCAGATGGTGAGGCATGCAGTGGGCAGTCACATAGACCACACAATCACTTGATGTAAGGACTCTAGTCGTGTATGTAATTTTGGAAGTTTGATTCGGCAATTTCTGCTAGAATTGAATATGGCGCTGGGTGCAAATGCCGGTGCTCTCGCTGCAACAGGAGGTCGCTAGTTGTTGGTGAACGGGATGATAATCTCTGTGCATGTTTAACTTAATTACCAGTGTGTCTTCCCTAATCTGCGCTACCTAATACGGTAGTTACAGATACCGAGCAGCTGCTTTCTGCTATTGTTCGTATAGGCTAATCAAGCCTATACCCCCCCCCCCAAAAAAAATGCTACCAATCACAACTCTTGAAAACTGTGCAGTGGCAGTCAACAATCCTGTGAATAAATGATGGCCTGCTCACATTGTGGCAATCAAAGCCTAAAGCAGGGATTTTTTTTTCTGTGGTGAACTTGTCATATATCGCCTGCGAGAAAAATGCCGATTTTGATTGTAGTGTTGCACTGCCAGCTTCAGACTGCACTCTGCACCCACTGCAAGCTCCCAACGGTCTTCTCGTTGTCTCGCTCGTCTTTGATGTATTGTTAACAACACGCTGCTTTAAACCAAGGTTTTATCTTTTCCCTTTGAAACTGGGCTCGGCTGCAAAAACGCAGTTTGTATATACAGCGCTGTTTAAATATTTAGAAGCATTGTGTAAGTGGATCTTGGGTGGCCTGTGCATCCTTTGAATCCTCGTATCTCTTGCATTTGATATGTCTTATTTAATGGTTGTGATCTGGAGAACACTACAACGTACTGCAAACAGTTTCCACCTCTGGAACAGGAACACTGTCCATTTAGTATTTCAGAGTAATGTTTCCTCTTTGTGTGACCTTCTAGGGATACAGAACAGGCTACTCTTATAGGAACCCCATTGTGCGTGAAAAACCCCGCTCTAAGAACGACGTGGAGATCCCCGCCACGGTGTCGGCTGTGTCAGCGGAGGACAGTGAGATGGGTCTGCGAAGCCCCTTGAAGTTTATGGCGCAGAAACAGCAAAGAGAAAGGACCCGGTGGCTCAACTCGCCCAACAGCTACTTGAGGGTCAATGTTCCTGAACATTCACCCAGCGGGGATGTCAGCCCCAGGACCAAGACCATGGTGCGTTGATTTTCATGTCAAACTGTAAAAAGGAATTTAATAATCTAGCCTTTACGGTTTTGGCCTCTGAAGGAAGTAATGAGCTGGGGAGCAGCCATTCCTTTGTGTTAGCCTGCCCTCTTGTGGTCAATCTGAAAAATACACTACTATCGTATTCTCTTTCTCAGTGGATGAAGTCTTCAGAGCCAGGCAATAACATCGGCACACCAATAAAGATCGAGGACCCCAACCAGTTTGTCCCACTCAACACTAATCCCACAGAGGTTTTGGATAAGAGCAACAGGGTCAGTTCAAACATCACATTTCTCAATATCATAGACACACGCCCAAAGAATGAATTATTATTGTCTGCATCATTATTAGAGCGTTCTCTATGATATATGCCATAGAAATAGGTACAAAAATTGTATTCGATAAATTAATGCTGATCAATATGTTCTGGCAAGTAAGGCTGCAACTAACCATCACTTTCTTCATGGATTAATTTGCCATTTATTTCCAAATTGGTTGTTGTATGGTGATGATCAATTGAAGAACTCTTTTGTCATTTGCTGTGTTGTTGAGTGTTTGTTACAGTATGTCTGACACACAGATATTGTATGTGTAATGTCTTGACTTAATATGATTTTGTTGCTTGAATTTGTTCAGATAAAAGAACAGCACAGAGGTTACCTGATGACTGCCGGACCAAAATCTCAGTTACTCTCAGGCATTGTTGTGGACACCATTAAAGGCCCAGTGAGTATATTTACCATTTGTAAAAAAAAAAAAAAAGGCACAAAGTCACAGGTGCAGCCACACTGCATGATACAGGTTTTTAATCGCTTTAACACATTTTCTAAAACACTGCTGCAGTTTTCAAATCACTAAGCACAATCATCACGCCATTTTATACGACCACAACACTACCATTAAAAACATTTAACTCTTTAAAATAAAATCATCAGCGAGCCAACGTCAAATTCCATCAAGTAGAAAAGGAGTTTTAACACCCAAATCAATACGGATATTCCTATTATCAAGTTATCAAAGTCAAATGTTTGCACAGGGGAAAAAAATGCAGACATGGCAAGAAAATGCTTTCTTTATTGTGGAATAGTCCTGTTTCATGGTTGAGACCTTTTAACTTGTCCCCAACAACGGGTTTCAAACAACTCTTTAGTATGTAAACATAAAAGTATAACCAGTTGCCATCGTTACCCATGAGTAATTACTTCTTTTCACTGAAGAATGCATTACGTCAGGTGTCCATAACGTCTCGTTATTCTCTCCTGTCGATCAGGCTTTCATCGTTGAGGACGAGGAGCAGACTCGCTCTCTTCCCCCCAACCCCTTCAATGAGCTCACGGAGAGAGTGCTGGAGGAATACAAGAGCCTGGTAGAACGAAAGCAGCAAGGCCAAGAAGGTAGTCCAACACTTTCTCTCCTATTACACAGCCTTAAAGTGCTCTATCGCTCTCAGGAGGTGCAGAAAACCTCCACTTAATCTAATCCCACACAAGCTCATATCTGACATCATCCCATGTAAATTATGGGTGTGTGGCGTTTTGAAGTTAAACCGTAATGCTCACAGGGGTCATGAGATTGAGATGGAGAGACAAAGCTAATCTCAAAGGTTTAACAGCGCTCTCTGACTTCACCAAGCAAGGCCAAAAGAAGTAGTTCAAACTACAGTTTAGGACCGATTAGAGGCAGATTTCTGAAGAACTATGCAATCAAATTGAAGTTGTTTTTCTTTTAAATTAAGAAACACACATCATGCAGTATTGATTATGATGATTATTTGGGTGTAATGCTATTGTAGTTTGCCGTACTTCTTGCAGCCCCATGAAAGCAGTCTCACGAGCCTGTAGTCCAGTCAGAGTGCTCGGTTCCTGCCTGGAGGAAATGTTGGAACTATGTTCACTGAAATCAGGATATTCCTGCAAAAATGCCCTCAGGAGAAAAAAAAAAGGAAAATGTCAGTCCATGGTTTCACTCTTCCTCTAAGCTATGAAGTCAGCTCACAGGGATGGTGAGAGACGAGCTGCAAAGACGTCTTGTCAGACTATTCATGTCTTGGTTATGACTGCAGACGGGGAAACATTTCTACAGCTGTGTATTAGAGTAGCACCTTTATTTGTCACCCTCTAAACAATAATGTGTCCGTCTTGGAACACATCAGCTAAAAGAGATTGATAAAAGAAATGTACCAGTGTTGTTAAACCAGCATAGTATTCAATGTTTTAGTTTTTATTTGCAATAGGGCAATGCCTGAGCTTTTCTTTAGCACCATCGTGAGGTTTTGAGTGAAATGTCCGGGATTGGATTGCCATGAAATCGTCTCCATACATTCAGTGTAATCGCTTTAGCGCCATCATCAGGTTCAAAAATGTTATTTTCTGCTATTTTTTTTTTACAAGCAAATACCTGAAAAACTAAAATAATGACACTGGCATCGGTCTCAGCTGTGCTTTGTTTGGTGATAATTGGCAAACGTAAGCATGCCAACACTAAACTACGGGGAACATGTAGCATGCTGACTTCAACACGTAGCTCAAAGCGCAGCTGTACAGCCTCACAGAGCAGCTAGCGTGGCCGGAGACTCTTGCTCTTAAAAAGAATTCTGAGCGACATAAATGTGTTAATCCAATACGCCTCACTCTCATGAACACAGCGGCTTTAATGAATGACTGACCGCTGATGACTTTAATCCTTTTACAGAAGATGATGATGATGCCACTGATGCAGAGGAGATGACCACATTTGATGGCTCTACTATCTCCCTCTCCCTCTCTCCCATAATGACGCCAGCTAAACACGGTAATTAGCCAGCCAATAGCCATTGAAATTATAGTCATTTGAAATTGTCAGCAATAGCTGCTTGTTTGCGTCTGTGTTTTGGTGTAATCTGTAAAAAGCCTCGCAACGCACTTCTCATCTGCATCCTTGTTCCCCGACATGGTTTCATCTTGTGACAGACACGATACCCAATGGGAAAGACCACTTGGAAGAGACGGACGAGGATCTGAGCATTGAGGTATCCAAGCTGAGCTTGAGCACTTCAGAAACGGTGGAAATCTCTATTACGTCTAATGAGAAGACGGAGGAGGCTCAGACCAAGTCCCCCAAGAAGAAGAAGAATAAGTTCCGCACACCTTCATTCATGAAGAAAAGCAAGAAAAAGAAGGATGAGAAAGAAAAAACAGAGGCCTGAGGTCATTTACTGTAAAAAACAATTAGTGTTTTGCTATGAAAACGTCTGAATTGCCTTCTTAATTTCAGTCTTGTTGAAGGGAAATGAAATACAGAAAGTCTCCCAGGACTGGGTTGTTTTTTTAAACATTCACAGCTATTATTTCGTGTGAAAGTTTTTCCGAGACGTGCCGGCAAAAGGTAATACGAAAGTTTTTTACCCACGACAATTTGTGATCGACCGCTCCCGAAGGGCTCAGTATAATCAAATCGAATGAAAAGCGAACGCAAACATGCTTATCTGTGGTTATTACCCATATTTTAATGGGATTTAAAATGGATATCAAAACAGTTACATTCTTGTGATTTTTTCTCTCTTTTGCACAGGTTCATCGTTGAATGTATACTGAAAGCTAAGAAGATTGTCTTTATAATTCTTAAATTGAACAATCACACTAGTTGTGTGTAACAGTGGCTGAACATACTAGGACTATACAACTGTCAGCCTAATAAGAAGTACGATTTGTATCTGAACGTATTCATAGTTATACTATCTTGTAATAATATATGTTGGTTTGTATTTTAGCTATTACAATATAGTGTTTGATAGTTAAATAAATGATTTGATAGTCTTTATATACTAACTCTTATACTAAACATGCTGTGATGGATAATTCAGTAATAACTCACAACGTTTTTACATTTTTGTCAGTGGTATTGTTCCCATGGTTGCTGCTTTATTGTAATTGTGACGAGGAATTGACTGTGACCAACAGAAGGAGCCCTGCAAAGTGAGGATTCTCGCATATTGATGTTTATGAGTGACTTCTACAGAAATGACAGAAAATCTCTGCTCGTCTGGACGATGAAAGTGTCAGGCCTGAATCACAGAGAGTTGACTGATCGATGTTTTGACTAATTGTGTCAGTTGATGGCAATATGCTGTGGAGAGCTCGTCTTCATAGCCGCTGTTAGAGTTTGATATAAAGTATATTAGACATCCCAGTCAATAATGTGAATGATTTGTTTTGACCCAAAGGGAGTGAAGTCTTTGCCTTTGTAAATAGTTTTGTTTGTGTGTGAACTTCTTTTGTTACGCTAAACCAAATGTTCAACAGTGAAACATAGAAATGTGACAGTACAATCTAATAACTATATTTTATCATTGTATTACTCTTTGTAATTTGTGTGCCTAGTGCTTGTATCTCCCTGCATTGTGTACATTGCTCTTTGTGCCGCCTGGTTCTTCTCCATGGTGAAACATCACCGTCACCTTCCCTCAGAGTCAGTCCTTTGAAAATGGCCTTCTACCGATGTAATAAAAGCTCAGATATGTTTCTTTAACTGTTTTATTGCTCTCTTGCTAATTGACTAAAAAGTATGTGACGTTATCCTTCCTTATCTTATTCCCAAATACAGTTGTATAGTTTTTTTTTTTTTATGTTGTTGGATACTTTTGCATTTATTTCAGTCTGGTGTGAAACTCAAGCTAAATATCTAGACTACAACACCTCAAGTACAAAATAAAGCTTTGTAGAAAATGTACACAGCCTACCCTTTTCTTTTTTTTAAAGGCAGCGTCCCCCTAAAACAATGCACTCTGTTCAGTGATAATTGACCGTGTGAGGCTGTATAATCAGCCTTCAGCCATCATATGAATGGGTGTTGTCATGGTAATCCACTGAGAGGGGGACAAAGAGGGGATTTGGTGTCTCCAACAGGTGTTCATGTTGGGGGAGTGACAGGATCTATACCTACACCACCCCCAACACACACACACACACACACACCTCCTAGGAGATGACAAGAAGACCAGGTCAAAAGGTAGTGCATTGAATTGGACATAAAAATGAACAAATTTAGAAAATAATATTATTTTGAAGTAAGACATACTTATAAGTCTTAGACTAACAAAAAGATTGGCAGTTAATAATAATATATTGCTCTTAGTAATTACTTTTCTCTAATCATTTTCTCTTACTTTTTCTTATGTAAAATGCGTGACCGCTCCAAACTCGTCTGAACAATCCCTCTCAATGCGCGGATGGCAAAGCTTAACGCTGAGCTCTTCCGTGTTGTGACTCAGGAGAGGAAGGAGCAGGTGACACACGTCTGGCCTGCTGGAGTGTCCTTCTGCGGTGACCTCGGGGCAAAGTGCAGCTATTGTTTTAAAACAACAGGGGGGCTGCTGCTGCTGCTGCTGCACAACAATGCTTCATCCGAGACCGGCCTCTTGTGTAGACCACCTGCATGCGAGATGACGGCATCGGATCAATACATAGATCAATTCATTTTCCCTTTCGACAACATCCCAGAAGCCTTACACTCCATGCCGTGTGAGACCGGTGTGGGATGTTTGTCACATTCTTTCATAAACACACACACACACATGCCAGCGCCGTGTGAATTTGCCTCCTCTGTGACAGCCGAGCCAATGGTGTAATCCTCAGGCTTTTCAGATTACTCCAGTTGGGGGTCACATTCTACACCAACCTACAGCGGGTCAGCTTTCCACGCTGCCGCTATCAGCGTGCAGCTCGCACAGTCGGTCGCCCTGCACACGAGCCTCACAGCACTTCCTGGTCCGTGTCTGACTCTTCATCTGTCCGTTTGACACGTGGGTGGCAGCAGATACAACGATCTCTGACTGTTACATTTGCATTGGGGTTATGAAGAAGCTAGGGTAACAATAGCCTTAATCAAATGAGAGGGGGGGGGGGGGGGGGAGCATATTAGCAGAGAAAGTATTCCATAAACAGGCCTGTAATTGTTGGGATTTTATAAGACCATTGCATCTTTCCACAAATTCATCCTGTTGTTTTGCCAAGAAAGAGTGCGTCTCTGTTTCAGTGTTGAGATCAGGACCGTCTGTGTGTGTCAGGCCTTGCCAGGCAGCTGAAATAGACTCCATGGGAGGGTGTGCTCTCCCTCACAGGCGTCCGTTACAGGCCTGGCCACATCTGCAGCGGGCCAGCCATCTGCACCCATTGTCTCAGAGCCACAGCACAGCCCTGCACGCATGGCTAGCCTCGTAAAGACAGGCCCTTTCCCCTCTGTCCTCATCCGTCCCTCATGGTGCGGGGAAGAAAATGACTTCTTAATCAGTCAAAAGGTACAACAGAAGTGGAAAATCAAGCTAGACGTACATTTTTTTCAATGTTATCTTAGAAAACTATAAAGATCAGGAAAGTAAGCTTACTTTCCCTATCAGGTAAATGCTGTTGAACGGAGGCAGCCCCAGCAGATGGGCTCTGATCATCCTGACATTAACCATAATCTCACTGGTTTATTCATTTCTTATCTCTGTGTAAGTTTAGATTGCTTTAGATCTGGAGAACTATACAATACAGCTGGAGACGCTGAGGGGGGACAAGAAACGATAGGGAAAAAACAATTGGATTATCTTAAACAAATAACTTCAAACTACCTCTGAAATCATATTAATATGTGGCATTCACACCAAAGGGAAAACACCTGAACACACCACCTTAATGTACCAAAAACAGACCCCAACCCTTTCCCTGTCTCCAATATCCAGGTTTTTAAAGTCTGTTCACATGCATTCAGACCAAACTGTGAGTGTGAAAGCGAGGCAGCTCCTATAGGTCATCATTATTTGCTTCATGTCAAGTGACATAAAGCAGCTGTCGTTACAAATGAAAGCAGGCATTATGTGTGTTATTTGTTACTCTCCTGCAGTATTGATACTGCAGGATTTATTATGGTCAAGGTTGACGATGAATGCAATGTGCATGCGTTAGTGGGAGGGATTATCCACCAAGTAGGGCAAGTGGCTGAGGCTAAGGACTGCAATTCCATCGAGCCTAGTTCATTTCAGTCATCGGCTCAGTGCACAGACGGGACAAGGAGAGCGACTCCACCGCTGCCTATTTGTCAAAGCCCCCCCACCCCCCCCCCCACCCCCAAAACAAAAAAGTGAAAATGGTAAAGTACATGCGACAGCACAGCGAGCTGAAACCCGAAGAGGTTCTGTCGGAGTCTGATGCGTCCATGGACCAGCAACATTCCGGAGAATTGTCCGACTATTCTCTCAGCGACGTTTTATACTCCAAATGTTCCGCAATGGACCAAATCGGCACTTTCATGAAGACCGTGCAAGTGCTGCTCGACGCCGCAAATTACATAGAAAATATCGAGAAGAGCAACGGAAGTAAGTAAACACGGGCAGCAGGGGATATTAACACGTAATGCGCCGAGCAGACAACAATAGAGGCGAAGGCGACAAAAGACGCGCAGCGGACAGATGAGCTGGCCCGACAGCAGCCAATGATATTTCACCTGCTACTGGAAAGAAATGTACTTTAATCGACTTTACACTTCTACGATATCACCAATAGAAAGGAGGTCGGGTAATTGTCTAAATTGTTTTTTAAATTCAGAAATAAATTGCATAACCAGAGACTGATTACATTGCAATAGCCTTCAGCTAAATTATCTTCTGCTGCCATTAAAACTGTTTTTTTTTTTGCCGACCATGGAAGCCTTTCGCTGAGTAAGCACGATTAATTTATTATAAAAAAAAATATGCTTGCATTATGTGCAGATGTAGGTTATTTCATGTTGCCTAGATATTTATGATGTTTGAGACTCCCTATTTCCTATTTATATCTCAGTCGATCGCAGCTCCCTTTCTCGCATAATTTAAATATCGCATTCTCTCAGAAAACATCACATTCAAGGACCCTCGTGCGCACACGAGCAGTGATTTACAGTTTATTTCCTCTAAACATGTTCAATTCAAAGCCCACCTATCATTTGCAGAAGCAGCTGCTGCTTCCTTGTATGTGATGTTCACATGGTTTCCACATGGAACAAATTGTAAAGTTCCCATTGGTCGGCACACATGTTCCCAGAGCAAGAGTCACGGGAGACAGTCAATCACACGCGGGTTCACGCCTGACGTCGCATGTTACTGGGAAGGAGTGCTCATGGGAACTGTAGGAGTTTTTGGGCCACACGAAGAACAGTAGAAAAACGTAACGCCTGCATGTATTAATATCAGCATTTTATAAGAAGGCTTGTCTCTCGATTACACTGAAATGTATTTGTTGTAGTTGAATTCCAGGGATGTGTTGCCACTGGCCACACATTTAAATTCAGGTCAAATAAGGTCACATCCATCATGCAAATCTAAGCCCTCGTGAAGCCTTTCGCTTGCAGCATGTTGGTAGAAACTGTCTGGTATTTTGAATCCTCTTGATCTTTTTCATTACCAGAATGTGAGCATGGTTATGCTTCAACGTACCCTGCAACCCAGACTGCACACCAACAGAAACAGCGTAAATTCAAGAACAGGAAATTGGACAATATTCACAATAGGTAGGTTAATGTCGATTACAAAGGGTCTTCAAATGAGGCTAAATATAATAGCTGTGAATGTACATTTTAAATACTTCCTGATAAACAATAGTGAAATCCTTATTAGCATCGTATTATCAGCACGATTACGGCATCATTAGTTTTCACAACAATTGGATTTGTTTGTACATATAGATTGTAGAATATGTTGTATTTTGCATCATTAAGGCTTATATAACAGTCTTGTTTGTATATTTATGATTTCAACAGGTCAGCACACAATGAACTGGAAAAGAATAGGTGAGTAAAACTAAATTAAAGAGGTAATCTGCATGTTCAGTCAGTACAGACTACACTCAGGGGTATTGAGAGACATGGAAACAGGAACACAATGAAAACAGTGAAATGTTGTGACTGGGTAGTCATCTTAAATTCCCATTGCTATCTTTCTTCAATTAACTATTGTAATATATGCATAACAAGTGACGTGCAAAAGTCATACAGAAGAAGGAGAGGCAGACTTTTAACTCCTGCAGTAAATGAGCTTCAAGCTGATAAACCACAAGCTTTCTCCACTCTGCCATGTTTGCATATCTTGGTGCATACCATTTCAAAATGAGACGCACTGCAGGCCTATAAATCAGTTTATTATCATCACAGGACTTCAGAAAATGTGTTTTTTTCTTCAACAACTTGGAAACTCACCTATTGTGTGTGTTGGCAGTGTGTAATTTTGCAAGGCAAATAGAAGGGAGGTGTAATGCAGCCTCAGTGTTCCTGGATGACACGCAGACATTTCCCCAGTCAGCAAATGGGAAACGTCTGTTTCCAGACAACAGGGCTCCTTCCTGACAGAGACTCAGCAGCAGCTTGCTATGCTATGCTATGCTATGCTATGCTATGCTATGGACACAGGATAAGGCAGCCACTGCTCTGAGCAGGACACATTTATCCGAAAATGAGATGCCCGGTTAATCCTCAAAAGCAAGCCGTGTGTGTGTGAAAGTCCTGGTTTGAGAGATGCACTAAGTGATGAGGAAGAATGGCATCTTCAAGAGCAAGGCTTATTTCATACTGGGGCTATTTTATATCACAAAATGGTGGCCAATGCAGAGAGAAGAGCTGACATCACAACTTGACCTACATTTTACTACGTTATTTGAAAGGAGAGTGAGTGTCCTTTGCCAGTTCCTGCATTTTGGTCTGCATCCAGAGGCCTCGGTGGATCAGAAACAGCACAAGCTGACCTCAGCAGCTTTTCAAATCTGGGGCCAGACGGATCCATACGTAATTGCAAAAGAGTCAGATGGCGTGGCTAATTAGCCAAATGGATAAACAGATAAATCAAGTGCCTAAATATATCTGGACTGTTACATTGCTCATCTCACATGGATTAATGCTAGCCTATCAGAATTATAATTGATCAGCACCGATCAAATAGCAGTTTGCCTTAAACTGTTACAACACTAATCGAATTGGATAAAGAGGAAATATTATAATCTGACTTAAATCACAATCAGTGCAGCAGAGGACAATCATACATTAGTCTGCAAATCCATCATTGTGTCATGAATAATTGTTGTATAATGCACATTACTCTATGCATGCTTACTCTGAGGAGAAATGACCCGTCTTGATTACGTCTCCATCCCACAGACGAGCACATCTCCGCCTGTGTTTGGAGAGGTTGAAGTCCCTCATCCCTCTGGGACCAGACTGCAGTCGGCACACCACACTAGGACTGCTAAACAAGGCCAAAGCACATATCAAGGTGTGGTAGCCCCGGTAGTATTGCACCATCATGGGATTAATTCTTAATTGTGTGCTCAAAAGTAATAACGTAAAAGTATTTACATACTGTTCCCATTTGATGTACAAGGGGAGGCATCTTGCACCCATTTGATCCCTGTGAGAGTCTGAATGTGAATCCTGAGTGATGGTTTAAAAAAACCTTACCAGTCAATAGACTGATCCAGGTTTTTATTTTATTTTTAGATCTACATTGTATTTTAGTCTCTTAACTCTTCTTAAGGTACACGCTGCGGTGATACTTAACGCTCCATCCAGCGTGATCCCAGTGCAGCTCGATCCGTCTACAAATGCTGCTCAATTATTTAGCCTGACATCCACTTGAACTTTGAAATGACTTGATTAATCTTAGGAGCACCAGATCAGTCCTCGTGTTAAAGCTGCCTGCCTGAATGGGCCACTGAGTGTGGCTCAGTAGCCTCAAAGCATCCAAGACTATACTTTGGCTCCCTTGATGACTACAGTCTAAAGCCAGATACGATTCTTTTGAGGGATGATTGAGGGCTGCAATATGAAAGCAATCCTGTGGCAACAGTGTGTGGGAGTTTATTACAGGGGGGGGGGGGGGGGGGGGGGGTAATGGATAAAGTACCTACTGTATGATGTCAACTGTTGACTTTGGACTTGCCTGTTTAAAGTGCAGGATATGTGGCCCCTGAATGCTGCTGTGCTGTGTCTTTGGAACCAGAGGTTGTGAGAGTAAGAGGGCGGAGCAGCTGCTGGCAGCATGAAGAGCCACAACAGAGGCTTTTTTCTTCCACCAGCTGTAAATCTTGCTCAACAACTGGCTCGCATGTAAATGTTGCTACTTATTAATATGCCACTGTTTTTATTTACGGCACGATCAGATGTGATGATTGCTGTGAAGTGATTGGATTACAGATGTCCGTAGGGTCTCTTCGGGACTTTGGTTATTTGTTAGCTTGTTAGACATACTTAAGTAAGCGGCTTGTGTGTGTTGTTTGAAATTAACCAAAATCAAGCGTGAACAAATGAATTTAGAGCTAAGAAGGCGAAGAATGAACGTATCTGCCAAACGCAGTGCACGATGACATTTATGTTCATTTGTATACCCATGAAGCAACTCTGCCTTTTGCATCCAGTCATATTTCACTGGTATTAACCTCACACGGAGACGCCAGCTATTCCTCGAGAATCCAACCAGCAAGTTGCAGTCATTGTGTGTTGAATATTTCATTAGAGCGCACAGGGGGCGTCACATTTGACGACAAACGCATTAACATCACTTCACTGCGCGCAAGACAGGTTCACCATCGTCTCATGCCACATAGTACGTTAATCACGAGGAACATCTAGAGAGCTGCAGTCGTAACGGTGTGATTCAACGCTACGCAACTCACGTAAACACCAAATGTGGCACACACACCGATTCTCTCCATAATCTTCACATAACAGCACAATTAACTCTTTTGCATTTCCCTCTTATGTAGAAACTTGAAGAGGTGGACCGGAGGAGTCTGCACCAGCTGGAGACCTTGGAGAGGGAACAGAGGCACCTGCAGAGGCAGCTATCCCAGCTGCAGACTCATGGAGACCGGGACCGGGTCCGTACGGACAGCCAGGGCTCCCACATGGACTCTGACCACTCAGAGTCTGACAGAGGTCAGTGTCCCAATCACAGCCTTCATCGGGTTTGCCCCCATATACACTAACGCAAGCACAACATCTAACATTTGGACTTGCACGACTCAGTAAAATGAATCTGTATTCATTTGTTTTTTGTGCAGAGGAGATTGAAGTTGATGTCGAAAGCACTGCGTTCTCCCATGGAGAAATGGACAGCGTAAGCACCAGTGGTGTAAGTGACCTGGATGACATCAGCAGCCGGCAGAGCTCCGCCAGTGATGAGGGCTACTCCACATGCAGTCTAAAACTGGCCTTCTCCGCTTGAAGCACCAGCCTATATGTTTACTCCAGCTGCAGTCCTTTATGGCTCTCACCAGTACCAGCCGAAAGCTCCCATTCTCCCTTTGCAGTTTAGGTTAACTGCCTTCATGAGAAGAACCAGCCTCAATCCCACTAAACAAAATGTCTACTCCCCCCCTCCCCCCCTGAGAACCAGCCTTAAGTGTCTCCTTCCAAAAGCCAAGGGGCTCCTCTACATCAGTCTGAAACATCTTACACCACAGCCTCAAATTTAACTTCTCTGGCAATGTACAGTTTCCTCATTTTCAGAGTTGACTTAACCAATCACCTGAATGTCCCTTCACCCATTACCAGCTTGAATCAACCATACCTGCACTCAAACCTGACCCTGTAGAGAGGAACCCACGCACCAGTGTCCAACACTGAAGGGGGGACTCTACCTTTAGTCAAGTTCATCCTCTGAAACCAGCAAAAACCCTAAAAAAAACAAAACAATACCAGCTAGTAGCTCACCATTGTGAACGTTTGCTCCATTTGCCTTGTAATAACATTGCCCTTTTTCTCTGGATAATATAATCCAGATGGCACTTCTTGACAGTGTACAAGCCAGTGGCAAGGGCTACGATGTCTGCATTCCAAACTGTTTATCACACTCGTAGACCCTCTGCTTTAAGACCCTCACCCATCAGCGATCCATGTGGCGCCCCGTCTCTCGACTGAAACACAGTTGTATCCAAACAGGTGGAGCAGTCCACCCTCGTTATTCTATTGTATTTTGCATATGATTATAGTATTTATTTTTGGTATATTTAATTTAACTGTAGCTAAGTATTTGGTCATGCTTGAAAGAAAAAAAAATGTTAGATTTCTTCACAGTTTTTAAATAAATAGTTTACCACATTACTCGACATGAAATTTAACCCCGACTGAAGCATTTGCAGTGCTGAAGGTTTAAATGCATTACTTAAGGTTTTGTCTTTTACAGTGTGTGCAGATTCAGTTTCATTATGACAGTAACAAGCTATCCCGCACTAAAGCGTCTACTTTATCACAACTGTAAGGTTGGCTGAGTTCAGCATACTATTCTGTCCGTCCAACACCAAATTGCAGTTTACCATGTGCCCCGGTAGTGGCATCAATTTTAATATTCAGTAGGAAAAAATGATTGTAATCGATTTAAAAAAAAAAAAATAGCTATGGTGCATGTGTATTGAATATAGCTATCATGTTGTGATGTGCTTTGGATTGACAAGTCTTTAAAAATGTCTGTAGCATGAACATAAACACTACAGAATACCCATTTTGATTTATACTTCAATGTTTAATACTGTATCGTTTATGTATTGTAGCATAAAAAGAACGCAGTTCAAATCCTTGACACTTGGAAACTCCCCAGTAATGATTATATGTATCTTGGACACAGAATTGCACTGCTGACCTGTCAGAATCCATGAAACCAAATAAGACATTTCAATAGGACCATTCAAATGCATCTTTCTGGTCCAAGTCCTAAGGAGATCACCACCAAATTGTGTCTTAACATGGGTATATGACTCTTGCACAAAGTTCCTCGTTACAGGTCGTGCACCCCCCCCACCACCCCCAACCTGTTTGGGAATCTATAAAATGCACTATGAAAAAGACTTTTAAGGAAGTATGTCAAAGCACACCCCAGAATGTTTTCTCTTGTGCTTAATCAGCCATCCAAGGTGACTTTTCTGCAAAACATGCTGCTGGTCCCCTGCTGGTACTCCATTACAGTTCCTGAAAACTGTCCCAGGCATCTTAATAAACCTCTACCGCCCAAGCATAAGTAATGTCTTGTTTTTGGGAACACCTACCATCAATAATCTAATTTTCCACTTTGTCTTGTATTGGACTGACGTGTATCATATAAATGAATCACGTCTGTAGCTAACGCTGTTCATGAAGCCTCCTGCACTAAAGTCCAACATGTCGAACTAATAAACTCTTGAGACTTATATGACAAAGAGGGTTGTAACACAGATTCATTAATAATGCTACTAGAAGTCTTTACTGCCTCCTACAGGATGAACGCATGATGTAAAAACAGTTGAAATGAGGTGGAAGCAATAAGCTAAAAAAAAAATTGAAAACAAAACAATGTTTATTTCACTGTTATATACACATATTAAAACGTAAATTCAGCCATTTCAAATCAACACCGTTATTGACATTCAGACTCCTCCCACAATGGGTCAGTGTTTAAAAACCAACTTCAAATGTACAAACTAAATTCTGCAGGTGTGTATTTAGACTCCTCTTAGCAGGTATTTGGCCTCAGTGAAACCTGGACACAAACATCAAACTCTACGGCTTTCCTACAACACCACCGCTGCCTTTTTCTTGGATACCTGGTGACCGTGTGCCAACCCCCCCGTTTGGATTTTTTTTGCCTTTGTACCTACATAATATATAAGAAAACTACATCAATATTTCAAACAATGGCGCACGCAAGCAATTCCATTCTTTACTTGGGAAACATAAATCTTGTAGAAACACAATGGAAATGCACCGATACAGGTTGTACACAGTGGGTTATTATACACAGAGCAGAGCAGGTCATTGTGGCATTAGATGTCTGACGTTGTATTTTGACGTGTCGTGGTACTGAGTCATTGGCTTGTCTGCAATACCACATGTTCCCACTCCCACCTTTCCATTGACGCTTTCTGGAGATGCAAATATGCTCCTCTTGACCTAGACAGAAAAACAAAAACAAAAAAAAAGTCATTATTAATTGAAAACATACAGAGAATGGATTATTGAATAACTTTTACTATATACAACACACACTTATTCCACAGGAAGGATAAGCTAGTGGGTGAAATGTCTCAAAGAGACATCTACAGTAAATACCAATTGTCCACAATTGCCCCATGCATCATGGGTTATCCATCACTCTCTAATAAATTCAGGCATCGATGAAAACAATAAAAAAAAAATAAAATAAAATTAAAAAAAAAAAGTACCTGTCCTTTCTTGTTCTTCGAGTAGGCTTTGTTGTTGAACTGTTGCCACTTTGACTTTTGCTCCTCCCTCTCCGTCTCCAACTCCTTCATCCTCTGTACCTTCTTCTGGGCTTTCTTCTTCTTGTACTCTCTCTGCTCGGCTATCTGCTCTTTCCTAGAAAGACAGACAACGAAGAGAAATGTATACAAATACCGTATGATGTACAAATACAATGACAAACATGATATATTAAATATGAAAAAATAACAGTGAGTCCAACATACAGTATAACTTAGAAGAAAACTGCATTATTGGCACCATATAACCATGAACAAAATATATGTAACTATAGTCCTGTATAAACTAAACTGTTTCCGTTGAGGAACTCTATGCTAAAAGAGTTCACACTCGGTCTCATTACTTGGCGTGTGCAACGGTTTATGTGTACGCACATTAAGTGTGAGTGAGACACACAAGTTGTTTTTTGTTCATACCTTGATTTGGGCTTCCCGTCCTCGTTGGAGCGTTTCCCCTCCTCTACTGCTTTGAGGTTCTGCAGAGGAATCACTTCAGCGTTCCCGTACCCGGCGAAGGTAACGGCTGCAGTGCCGTTCTCCCGGTCTATCTCCTCAATCTCAGCCTCATACACCCTGCCAAAGAATCACGTCTGTAAGCAGGTGAGTATGAGCCAAATACTCAAGCTCTACGTAACAAGCAATGTTTCAACCAATATATAATACTAATGATGAATGAATCTGTGCATTATACAACTATTGGATATTCTTTCCGTTACAATTTACCACAGGTATATGCATTTCTCACATTTGCGACCCCTAAAGTCAAACATACAGCGGCTTGTCTTAATAACCGAAGATGAACAAACACAATGGGTGGACAGAACATCATCCATTAAACCATTTTCTTAAAATCAAAATGAAGAACTCAATAGGTAGTGCTAGTAGGCATGCAATTGCATATATTATTTTCATCAGAAGAGGCTGGTGATACTCACTGTCCGTCCTGATTCCAAACAGCCATACAGCTGTCTCCCACTTTCCAGCCATGCTTCGAGGGTACAGGGTCTGAGCCGTTGGTGCTAGAAGAACTTTCAGTGGGCTGTGAGGTCAGGAGGTCTTTCGTCAAGTCAATGACTTCCTGTAGAAAAATGCAATCAAACGGTCATGGAAAGCGTAGGCAAGTTTCCCCCTCGGTAAGAGGTGGAAATGAGTTATTTTCAGTGTTTTCGCTTCCTTAAATAAAGCACCGTGGGGCCCTTACGACACGACTCACAATTTAGGGTTAGCATTCTAGACAGATACATTGGAAAATGCTTATAATACACCATGTCAATACTAACATAAACACTTTAAAACTCTAAATACAAATGAAAAATATATTTAAAAATCACATTTGCTCGTTAATGACGACCTATATTCTTAAAATGTAAGAATATATTTCACAATACTAGAACGTTATCCTGCAAGGATGCAAAGAGAGGTCTTAAGGATTTGATTATTGAAGGATTTTTTATTGGACAAATTGTTTTAATATGTATGCTATACAAGATCAATATAAATGTATTCTACTGTGCAATATCAATATGTCATATGTGCAATATCAATATTTCATATGTGCAATATCAATATTTCATATGTGCAATAATGTGAACTCCATTTAGTCAGATGATGTCTTCTTTTAGTTTTACAGTTTATTATAAATGTGTGGGCCTCTTATTGTTGCACATTTCTTGCTGTAGGACTAATAAAGGATAATCTTATATCTTCTATAAATCCTGCATGTCATCTCTACATGTGCATACTGTACATACTCGGCCAATTGAATTATATCCATTCAGTCTTTGCACTATTTGTATTGTTTCTTACAGAACACTCGACTTTTACACAGACGTTTGTTTCTTACTTTACTGTTGGTCATTGGTGCTTTTTTATACATAATCAAATAAGATTTATACCAGCATCTATTTTCAAAACTGGGTTCAGTAGTGGTTAAAAGCAACGATTAGATGACCAGTTACTTATAAAACTAAGATATCCTTCTATACGAATCCAGCAATGACAAACACGCTTCATCACATTCACACAAACCTGTAAGTCTTTCTGGAGTTTAAGGAGGTCTTCATTTTCTTGGTCAGTAGATAAAGCGACTTCTACTTGCTGTAGCTGGGCTTTGTAGCTGCTCAACTGTTTCACCAAGTCGTCCGACATCTGTGTGTTGACAAAAAAAAGACTGTTTTCTAGTCAACTTGGCTAACGATGGGTCAACTTAGCTGTATTAGCATGTCCGAGAAGCTGAAGTTAAACATATTAAATCGTAAATTAGCAATCGTATAATCACACAGATTGCTTGTGTAGTGTATCACATGCTAAATGAGTGAAACATTGGCTAATAAAATCTAAGATTAAAGGAAAAACATGATAGACCGCTTGGTCACAACATTCACGTTAGCATACGCTAAGGTTAGCATCATCCCTCGGCCTCTTACGTCGACGGAGATTTTACGTACGATGTACTAACGTCAATGCTAGCAACAACACACAAACTGAAGGGGGTCGGTGTACATCTTACCTCAGTATAAATGCTCTTGACCGTTAAACACAGCAGGCATCCAAATCTCAAGTCGACAATTAGCCAAACCGACAGCTGAAAAGAACAACAGTGCGCGTTTCTTCCTCCCGTACACAAATATCCAATCGGAAGTCCAAGACAGACGCTCTCGCGATAACAAGCGAGATCAGATGAAGTCCAGAGTGGCTCGTTAGCGCCCCCAGCGGCACCATGGGTGCACTGTATCTCCAGTTTCCTGTTCATTTTCCTATACTGGTATGTACAAGCTATAACATGGAAGCATGATATATATTATATGTGAATATATATATATTCATATATAATATACAATCACAAGAAAAAAGGTTGGGAACCACTGCCATAGATCATGCTGCTAGGTAAATCCTTCTGCTTCTCTTTTAAAACAAAGTATGTTGTAGTGAAGCTGTGCCAAAACAAATCATACAATACTTTGTACTTTAGTATGGATGTCAGATGACAAGGGTGTAGCATAGAGATGCCTCAGAACACTAAAACTCGAACATACAACCCTTTTAATACTCCTAATGAATAAATATCATAAAGTCATTATAGTAAAACATGTGGCCTGGTGTGTCTGTCTAAATAAAATGACTTAACAATCCTAACGTAGATAACTAGCAATGCATGTCAAATCCTCAGTGTATCCTATAATCTGCACACAATAAATTAAATCTTGCTTTCAGATGTCATACTGTGCAGATTTTTGCTTAGTATTTGAGAAGAATGATTATAATTGTCTATCAAATACACAAAATGTCTCAGTTTATTCATTTTGATTTATTCTACTTTGTTATTGGTAGAGCAAATTATGCCGAGCTGAAACCTTTATTTCAGTAAATGCGCTGCTCTTAACTCTCACTGCTAGTGATTGATCTCTTTAGTAAGTTGCTCCAATCCTCTCTGTAGCTGCAGGTATTATTTCAAGCTGTTTTTTCTTTCAGGATTGAACATTTTACTCATAAAGTAGAACTGCAAAACCATAAAGAGTGTACTCATAATCCATTGTAATTTAATAAACTACAGATATTACATCTATAAATCAAAAATATTGTTAATGTCATAATCAGCCTGTGGTTTCAGTGTCTAAGAGCAACACAAAATTGCTTTTTAAATCTCCAGCAGCGGATGAACTCCGCCCATTACTGATCTCACTGAAGAGGAGTCGGCGTCACACATCCTCAGCGTCAGATCAAGCTCATATAAAACCACGTAGTCTCCACTTCAGCCACAACAGATGACACGATCTCCCTGAGCCAGCACTACCTGCAATGTAAGTCTGTTTTATGAAAGTTTTTTTACCCTAAAATGTTGTTGGATGAAGAATTATTTTTCAAAGACATGTGGAAAACTTCCTGTTTTCCCTTTATTTATTTATTTATATATCTATATCTATATATATATATAGATATAGATATAGATATATATAGATATATATATATCTATATATATTTGTCTTTTTGATATGAAAACTCATTCTTCTCTGTTGTCTATTTTCTTACCGACAAAGAGGACAGAAGCACAGATTTTCTCCTACAAAATCTTCCAGAGGGCAAAATGAAAAGACTCCGCTCTCTCCTGCTGTGTTCCTGAATGGGTGAAATTAATAGACTGCTGGCGAGCACAGCTTCCAAACCTCCTAAAAGAGCGCTGGTCGGACGCAATCATCGACACCGCAACTCACTCTGATGGGTTGTCTTAACTTCACCAGCGGAAATGAGACCTTGCCCGGCAGCCACCTTTATACCGTGCAGACCTCTGTGCCTTTAACGATCCTCGTGGGTTTCCTCATCCTGCTAACTGTGTTTGGAAATATAATGGTAGTTATCGCTGTGACCACAAGCCGAGCCTTGAGAGCACCTCAGAACTTGTTTTTAGTCTCTTTGGCATGCGCGGACATTCTGGTCGCCACCTTAGTGATGCCGTTCTCTTTAGCCAATGAACTGACGGGTTCCTGGTACTTTGGTAAAGTGTGGTGCGAGATCTACCTGGCTTTGGATGTGCTCTTCTGCACCTCATCCATCGTTCACCTGTGCGCCATCAGCCTGGACCGATACTGGTCCGTTTCTCAAGCGATCGAGTACAACCTGAGGAGGACGCCGCGCAGGATTAAATGCACAGTCTTCATAGTTTGGGTTCTGGCGGCAATCATTTCATTCCCTCCGCTCATCACGATGAAGAAGGACGAGGGTAAAGAAGACAGCCCGAAATGTAAAATCAATGAGGAGAAATGGTACATCATCTTCTCCAGCACTGCCTCTTTCTTTGCACCCTGCGTCATCATGATTATGGTGTACCTTCGAATATACCAGATTGCCAAGAACAGAACAAGAGCCCAGCCAGGTGAAAGGCAGAGAGAATGTCACAATCCAGAAGACAAGAAGTGTGGCTTAGACCCTCTGGAAAGAGAAGACGGAGAAGGGAGGGAGGCGAGAGAGGCGGGCGGTGGAGAGATCAATGGGCTAGACGTGGAGGAAGAGCCCTCCTCGTCCGATGGGAATGAAACCGTCCTTTGTTCCCTGAAGAAGAAGAGGGCTTTACGAACAACCAAAGTGGCTCAGGAGGAGCCCGGAGAAACCTCTCCACAGCCCTGTGTGAGAGTGAGCAAGTGGAGAGGAAGGCAGTACAGAGAGAGGCGCTTCACATTTGTTCTGGCTGTGGTCATGGGAGTGTTTGTTCTTTGCTGGTTCCCCTTTTTCTTCACATACACGCTCACCGCTGTGTGTGACATCTGCTGCGTCCCGGAGACATTGTTCAAAATGTTCTTCTGGTTCGGTTACTGCAATAGCTCCCTAAATCCTGTGATATACACGATATTCAATAACGACTTCAGGAGGTCTTTTAAAAAGATCCTTTGTAAAAGGGACAGAAGAGGTTTATGAATAAGATTTGAATGTATACATTTCAAAAACAGCATTTTGCCCATCTCTATTAAGGCTCCTATCAACAGTGTAAATATAACATTGAAAAGGTATTTATAGAAGATTTGAAAAATGTGACATGTAGCATGTTTTGCTTTAGTGTTTTAACATTTAGTGTGCTTCCACATCAGTACATGTTTGTAACATTAAATCATGCAACAGCGATTTAATGTGCAGTTTGTTTTACAGCCAGTATTACACTGTGACAACCTGTGAGTTTACATTGCACATTTGTGACAACATGGATGACACATTTTCTACACGTATGTATTTGTAACAGCACTTAAATGTATCAGTCAACTACCAGATATCATCTCTCATGATTTGGGTACTCATCGTATTAAACTTTAATGATTTAGACATAAAACTAAAGTTTACTGTGAAACTGTGAGTGAAAATAATAATGTTTGTAACATAGAGGCAGACTACTGGTGCTCATATCACTACTATCTAACTTCATTCATTGTAGTGCAATAAATATCACACTGCAATCCACTGAAATGTCAATAGTTTGCAAACAAACATGGCCAGTGATTTCATTATGACTGAAAACTCAATCATGTGCTCATGACAGTAATTATCCTGCGAGAAGAATGAAATGCCAAAATGATGCCTATTATTTGGAAAGTATGCCTCTCTCTCGATAATTGGACAGAACAATGAAAGGAAAGACAGATTTAGAGAAGTAGATGATTGTAAATGCTACAGTATTGCCAAATTTAAAAAAAATGATTCATCTTTGTACAATAGTTGAAACAATAGCAAGAGCACCTGAAAGCAGATTGTACCTGAAAAGATATTATCCCCCATATTACCAACAATCTCCTTCACTCATAACAAGCACGAGAACGTGACAATTATAGGACAAGAAGATTACGCCTAGGAGGTACAAGTGGCACAACAATATTGAAATGGAGTTTATCATGAATCACAGGCCTTAATATCAGGATATCATTAAATCATCCCCTGGAGTCAAACAAAAAACCATTCAGCAAGAGAGATACGAGTGGCTGCTGCAAATTACACTGTGAGGTTAATCAACATCGGCACAAGCTTATGCGTGTGGTGTTCTCCTATACGTGGACCGATATCAGCATTCTTCATCTCTTCTGCTTTTTTAGCATGCCGTTAACAGCACTTTGGCCTTTTTTCATATAAACTTTTCTTCAACAAATAGACTTTCGGACTCCTATCAGTCTGTGAAACTGGAAATTGTGTAAATGCACCATCCATAACGGCTTTAACTGAGCAAACATTTCTACCAATCACCTCTCGTGTATATACAGTAAATAACACAGTGATTCCCATGACTTGCTCTCTGGGACTCGGGTGTTTTTGAGATTCCTGTGGTACACATGTTTGGGTTCAACCACGTCTGCGAGTCTTAAAATACAACATATCTTACTTACCACAAATGGCAAATCAAAGACCTACTGTATTGCTGCTGAAGTTCCCACGAACGATCTGACACGGGAAATATTAGAAAACATTGGTATTTGAGGCTTTCTTTGGGCAATGACAAGTAATGCAAGATAAAGCTGTTTTGGCAAAGTTGTTCAATCAATATGAGGCTTTGGTGTCATTATGTTTAAACTGGACGGCGGGAAAGCTCTGCCATAACAGCACTTAAATAAACTCACTGATTATTATAGTTCTAACAGAAGTAGCTGTTTATATATTAATACGTAGCAATCCACATTATAGTGTACCTTAAAATATTTGCAAAACAGTCCTCAGAATATTTTTTCTTGGCCCTGATTAATGTGTCTGTGAAAATTAAAGGGCAACCTTTAATTAAAATGACAACTATAATAAAGTCTGTCATTGTGCTTGAGCAGCATACAGTAAAAGTTTAAGGCTCACACTCTCCAAGCAATAGAGATTAAATGCCAAAATAACCATGACAGCACTTGAAACAATGGAATCCTCAGAGTTGACATGGCAGTATCTTGTGATCAGTCTTCTACGTCTCACTCACATCTCTATAAATTATGGCTGCTTACAAACTGTAAACACTTGGTCACTGTTACTACTCCCAGCGTCACACACATCCACTCTCGCTGTCTGCCCAGAATTATTTATTGCCCCTCTAAAGGCCACTTCAGAACATCACAATTCATGCTCGTGACACCGGGGATTATAAAACGATGCTTTATAGGCGGCTTCTGGCAGGCGTTCCCACAACTTTCACACAGCTCCCCAGTCAGTCTTCTCCATTTTGTTTCTTGTATTTCGTCCGTATTCCTCCCGCCCTCAGCTCAATAGGTGCTTCTTAAAGCTGCTAGTCATGGATCTTAAACAGGCTGGCGGATTAGAGACCAAAGAGGACCGACCGCATCCCAGACATCAGACAGAGGCATCAAGACCATCCGAACAAATTTAAATCATCGCTAGTGATGAATAGAGTGTTTTTAATTGAATGTTGTGTCATTCATTATGGATTGAGCAACATGCATTGTACAAACTGGGGCATACATTGCTTCCCCCCCTCTTGAATTGATAAGGATGTGAGATAATCTAATAATGTTGTGAGGGATCTAAGCAGCAGAAAGATCCTGTTTAATTTGCCTCATGCAATCCCTGTTTCTTGCTCTACTCTGCTCACCATTGCATCTACATTGCACATTTCACTCAACAGAAATTGTCTTGTTGTAACCCATAGTTTTTGAATGTGTTTAAAGTATTTGATTATAATATTTCTAGTTGTCCCAAGTATGCAGAAGATGAAGTATTGGTAATTTCTGAATTTAGCTTTTCCAGTCCTGAAGAAAGGGATTGTTGTTATGAGTATTTAGGATATACAAAGTTAGCTTCAGCTTACATTTTCTTAGCACATGCTTATCTGGAAGGGGCTCGAGAAGACCTCGGGGGAACGAGGACCTCGCTGGGAGTTGAGAGAGCCAAAGCGCAGTGGGATGATGTGGAATTCACCAAATATATCAGATGCATCAACAAACAGAAGTTCATTCTTTGGGGACAGCCAATATACTCTTTACTCATTCATGCTTTTGTTGAATCATATTTTACCTTTTCTTGTTTCCACATACAACACAAATTATCTTTTCATTTTGAGCCTATTAAAAACAATTTCCAAAGTATTAAAATAAAAAGTAGTAAAATATTTTAATAGAAAACTAAAATCTGTTTTACAGAATATTCTGAATTTCTCTGACATTCCAGTAACAAGTGCCTTTTGGGTACATGTGTGTGTGTGTGTGTGTGTGTGTGTGTGTGTGTGTGTGTGTGTGCGTGGGTGAGAGAGAGAAGAAAAGAGGGGGCAATGGGATGAAAAAGTTAAAGGCCGAGACGTTAAAAATGGGTTTTACTAATTCGTCTTGAGAGACAATGACTAAAAACACTGATGCTTCTTGCTAAATCACCCTCAAAAGTAGAAATACTGTGCCCCTGTGAAGCTCCATGCACCCTCCACAGCAATGCTTTATATGCTCTGCAGCGAATCTTCATTGATACCACATTAAGCACTGGCAAATCTCCTGCTCCGGACACCATAAGTCTTCCTTAGCCATCTTGTCCTGTCTGTGCTATCGATCGTATCCAATTCCAGTCTGGCCCACTCTCCTCCTCATGCACAAGATTCTGCACAGCACCCCCACCCCGCCCAGGACGATGATGTCGGCTACACACACACACACACACACACACACACACAGAGTAAACACAAACTCCTGATAAAGTTTACTGTGATTGTACTTTATCTGTCCTCACCAGCCAGCTGTTGTGGACAAGAACTCATCCATCAGTATGCTGTCAGTTAACAAACACCTACTCACAGACAGAGCAAGCTGTAACACTGTCATCCACTTCAAGGGTGTCAACATTGTCTGTTTTACCTCTTTTTGGCAGGTTCTCAGGCAACAAGGCAAGCCTATACCGATTACTGTTGAGGATGAATCATCAGTCAAAAGACATGATTACTGTTTGAAATGAAAACAGGACAGGACCACATCATGCGGATGGAGTGGAATCAATATCTGAGGTTATTACTCGTAGAAACAAAGATTTCTAAGGGTGTCAGTCACGGCTGCAAACTATTTTCTGCATATTTGTAGATAACGTCAATTTCCCAGGCAAGATAATATACCACATGTTTGGAAATAAATGATTAAAAGACAAACTTAATCAATTGTGTATGGCTACATTCTTAAAACTAACCAACATGAATAAAAAGCAATTTAAGCAAGAGAATACACTGATTTTTTACATGTTTTTTATTGTGCTCAGGCTTAAATATCATGCTAAATTCAATTGAATTGTATGGGTTTAGTTTAGTTTCACCTTTGGGGACAGATTATTGCTGTTGGGGTATCACGGGTATCTAATAGCTTTTTTAAGCAGGAGTGGATATTTGAGTGGCTCCACTTTGGCACAACAGCCTTTGACCAAATTTCAATTCTGAAGAGTAGCGTTTATAATATGTAATAATAGTAAATGATTCCTTCTATTTCACATATGTATGATTAACCTACTACTACTACATATTTTAGTAATGCCAGTTGATTTAGCGGATTCAGAGGAGCGTGTGGTCGCAGTTACCTCTGCTGTCAGCAGGTGGCGCCTCGTGTGATCACTTCCGGGTGATGTATATTGACATGGTTCCCTTTCCTTAGAAATGCAGAAAGTGCAATGTAGATCTGTTCAAACCCTGAAAAGGTAAACGTCAGAAATGTTTAAATATATTGTATGCAGTCCGTTTTGTTTAAGATGTTGCTAGAAACAACTGAACGCCACCAATCCCCTTAGCCCATATCTCCCTCTTGTGTAGCTAACAGTTAGCTAATCTAGCTAGCTAGTTTTTACACTTTAAGACGTTTGATTTGATTAACAGCTACAGTGTGCTCGCATTTATTTGTGCACAAGTTAGAAGAAAAAAGCGCAGGTGGTTTAGCGACACTTACCGGCTTTTTGAACACATTTCCAAATTCTTCAAAGAGACGTTTAAAGACAATCCATTGGAACACGTAAAATTGGTGAACTTCAAATGGACATTTAGCTTTAACGTTAACCTGCAAACTAAGTTCGTTTTCCTAAATTGCTAAGAAAATGGCAACCGGAAGTGACATATCTCCTTACACCACTAACAGTACGTGAGAAAGAAGTGTTCGATCTCCATTGATGAATAAAGAGAACATACAATACGTGTAAATATCCCTTTAAAACGAATTAAAGCACTGAATTTGGACTTGATTAATTTGCATTGAGTTACAGATTCTAGGCACTTGACTGTATGTAATATTGTATCTATTGTATTTTCAGCTATTTAAATATCTTGCACCTCTTTTTATCTTGTACCGCTTACAGTTAAATACAGTTTGCAGCAGTTTGTTTCTGGTGAAAGTATATATGGCTGCTGTTTTTCATGGCAGCAATGACTTGCACCCCATGATATCAGCAAGATATGTACTTCCTGCACCAGCAACAGGACAGAAAATGTCTATAACAGACACAACTTGTTCCAACGTGTCCCCTCTTTTAGGCGCTACAGAGCGCTGTACACCGAAAACAACGTATCTCTGATCAACAGTTAATATCAGTTAAATGACTGTAAACTCATATGAATACATACATTCTGTACATATTCACCTATTTCATTTATATAAAGCCACCTGTTACATTATTTGTTGTGTGCATGTATTTCTGTAGTTTTAGTTTGTAATGTTGTACAATGATTACTGACCTCTTCATCCTGGCAATGGCATGCTATGGTACCCGTGCTAGATGTCCTTATACCTTTTGAGTTTCACTTTATTCATTCTTTCTCTATCTTGCTGAGGCGAGACAGGATGTCCCTTTCTTGTGCTCTAAGACATTAAGTCTGATAATAGATTATCTTTGGTTATCAGGGATAGACTTCCAGATGGTAATTTCTGGTTTAATTTAATGGCCTTAAGGGGGGGCGGACTTCCTTCCTTGGGGTTTTGGGCAGTATTATTTAGTGTGTGTGTGTGTGTGTGTGTGTGTGTGTGTGTGTGTGTGTGTGCGTGTGTGCGCGTGTGTGTGTGTGTGTCTTTCATCATTATTTGGACAGATACCGCTTTGAGTTTTTTCTTCTAAAACTCAAACTAAGGCCATTGCTGGTGTGAGTACAGAAATAGCGCAAAGTAAGTTTTTCCTGTTTTTGTTGTTATTTAATAACTGTATATCATTCATCAGATTATGTGTTGAACTCTAAATAAAGCTTAAAGCCATGTGGCACACATGAAATGGCGAATAGCTCAGTGGAGAGATATAACACTGTAAATGCATCCATTCTGGTTCATACGCCATCTGGTGAGAGAATGTTTGTAATGAGAGCTGGGATGTGAAGCGGAACCCAACATTCATAACACTTAACAAAATTACAGCCAATATTGCATCCGTCATAAATTCTGACAGCACGACATGAAAATCTAAACAACTTACGCCAACAGAATATAATATTATTTGAGATAATACCTGTGATAAATTCTTTTTCGCGTATGTTTCCATAAATGTTTATTTAGTTGTTATTGAGCAACATAGATGTATGTACTGTTGATTGAATCCACATCACTGAGATTTTTTCATATGTTGTACAACATTAAACAGAGCTGGAAATAATACCCTCAAGAGACTTGGTTATTAGAATGTAAGGGCTTTGTTTAGGAAAATCACGTGATTTCTAACATAATTTGTATTTTGAGGCTTAGCTACTTTTTTTGGCTGTTATGGCACTGTTTTTAACAATGAGAAATTCTGTAGAGATTATTCGTCCTCACATTGCCGTCATCTGTTACTCTGTATGATCTGGCTGGTTCACAAGTGAAATCCCAGGTATTCTCATGCAGTGTGGCAAAAACTGAGTAAACAGATGCTTTATCAATATGTATCTCCCTGAGACTGTGTTTTTTTATTCACTGCTCTCTCAAGACGTGACAAAATAGAAACGTGCTTCTGATTATAACCTGTAAACAATGCCTTTCTGTTTAAAAGGATAACTAGAACCTTTCTTTCGTGGTTAACCAAGTAAGTTATCTCTGTTTTGAAGTGATCTAGTAAACTCAATATATTCCATTTAGACATGGTCTGCCAGGAACGACAATAAAAAAGCCCCCTCAATTTTAGAAATAATTAAATTTTGCAAGAATAATGAGTCATGCTCATTTCCATGGTAGCAAACAGCCAGTCCATCAGTGGAGACTTATTTTCTTGGTGAATATCCTTCTGTGCTCCTGATGTCAGGGCGCAAACTCTAAACCAGAAAGCATGTATGCTTAGCATACATGTAATGTAATCACAGAAGGATAGGGACTCTTGGACACTGATCAATACAGGACAGTAATATAGATGTATAATTTAGTACATGTACATATTGACCACAGCACATTCATTATTACATTTTTTTTGGGGGGGGGGGTTGTTGGCCAATCACTTGCACCATGTGCAGTTATGCCCTCTGCAGATGCGTGTGGGGAGCTGCTATAATAAGTAAGAATCACCCAAATTGTAAAACAAGCTGACATGTGCAGTCTCTTTCGGTTGTAAAACTTAATGTTACAAAGCTTAAGAAACTTGACGATCATGTTTATTGAGGTCGTTGAGGAAGCGTGTCCGGGCATGCGCTCTCTCTCTCTCTCTCCCTCTCTCCCTCTCCCTCTCTCTCTCCCTCTCCCTCTCCCTCTCTCTCTCCCTCTCCCTCTCTCTCTCTCGGGTGGCAGGACCCGCGCTCGGTCTGCGTGCTGTGCGAGCCAATCACATTGTAGAAAAACACAATATTGCGTCATTGTTATTGTGGTGGTTTGGAGCTCCAGCTGTTGACAGAGATTGCGCCACCACGCTTTCATTTAGGCCTCTAACGCTGCGTTAACGGGTGGACCCGCAAGATTACACTATAGCACCATGTCGATCCTAAAGGACATTTCGTCGGATGATAGTTTGCAAGGTAAACGACAACAGCTCATCAGTGTTTAAACTACCGATAGACATCGTTAAGAAAACACAAGGTGACGTTAGATCACACTTACTTACGTAAAGAATGAGCTTAACAGTCGACGTGTCTATGCCTGCTTAACGTTACGTTATTATGTCGATCTAGACCCAGTGACCTAGTTATAGTGAATAAGGCTCATCTGCAATGTTGCAAAATCAAAGCGCCTTCAAGCCACGTCTGTTTGCTATTGTACCTCTACCCTACTGATATACCAATCGCATTGACACTATGTATTTTATTTAAGGTTCCTGGGTTGAGCTGCATTTCAGTGGCAATGGCTCTCAGAGCACTAGTCATCACGGAAGCCAGGAGCAAATCCCCACGTCGGTCCTGGAGGATGACGTGGAGAAAATGCTGCTGGATGCGCAGCACGAGTCGGGCAGAAACAGCTCCAAAGGAAGCTCTCAGTGCAACAGGTTTGTGGGGGGGAAAGAGGAAGCACTGTCTGTGTTTTTCTTTCTTATAGCCTATGTTGTGTAATACAGCTCATACATGTGTCTTAAATGATCACAGTGTGTGTTGTCTTCCTCACAACAGCCCACTTAGAGCCCTGACCCCCCTTCTTCTGTTGCGAGGCTCAGAGGCCAACAGCTCACAGGTATACTTGTTAGCACCATTGAACAGTATCATAATCTATTATCCAAGTCTAATTCATTTCGTGTAGTTTTATGGAATTCTTCGTAAGATGTTTGTTTTCAAATACTAGTGGTGGCCAAATTGTTGCTTGAATATCCACAATTTGTGTTTTTAGTCAGATGAAGACTTCCAAGAAAGAAGACGGGAAGTAGAGAACATGATGAAGAAAAATGCTGACTGGATCTGGGACTGGTCTAGTCGCCCTGAGAACAATCCACCAAAGTATAGCCACCACTCATTAGGTTTCTCTCAGTATTAAGTAGGATTTATTTTTTTGTTTCAGTGGTGCTATCTTAGTCAACATAATTATTCCAAAATAATATTCCAAAACGTGTCAAAAATAGCTGGTGACTATGACCCACTTGAATGTCTTTGGCATGCACATGTAATCAATACCAATGGAAACATAGTGAGTAATCATTACAGGGATGGTGGAGCTAACAGTAGGAAATTGTTAACTCTATTGTACTAATCTTTTGCACATATTAGCCTAAATGTATATTTACTTTACCCCATGATTTGTAATTGTAAGAATGAAAAAAAGATGTCTGTGTGTGTGTGTGCTGGCTGACATTAGACTGACACTCAAAACAGTGAAAAATTAATGTGCTTCTCCGTAGGGAGTTCCTGCTGAAGCACCCTAAGCGCTCGACCTCTCTCAGCATTAGGAACACCAGCGTCATGAAGAAGGGAGGCGTTCTCTCTGCTGACTTTCTGAAGCTTTTCCTTCCTTCATTAATCATTTCTCACATAATTGCCATTGGCCTTGGGTAAGCAACATCATTTAATCTCTAACTCTGGCAATTACAGTATCTCAAAAACTAAAAAAACATTCAATGAGAACCTTTAGAGGAAATTGCTGACGGATCCTTAGAATAATGTTTAAAGCCCCGATTTTTGACCAGATTCAATTGATTATCTTCATATAAATAATGGAATAATTTGACATACAGATTAAAATTGTATTTGGTATTTGTTTAGATAATCATACATGAAAAAAATTGAAATGTTCTTCTACTGTTTTTTCTACTGTTTACTGCTGATGCAAAAAGATCTTTAACAGCACCAACACAGCATGAATAATTTAGTGGTTATCTAATATTAGTCTCTGCATTAAATGGCATGTCCATCAATTTGAGAGTGATAGATCCCAGCCCTGTGTTTAGATGTTTGGTGGTGAAACAACAGTTTTATTTACGTCTCCATTATGACATTCATAAACATTGATCTTACCTCTATGAACCTCTAACATGTAGAGTAGAATAGAACATTTTACCACAGCAGAATACAGCTGTTTTAAAACCTAAATATCCAAAGGCAACCTATAAGGTTTCCTCATGTTCAGTGTCTCAGATTTAGTGGGCAAACGGTAAAAGTAAATTGCTAGTGTGCTCAAAAAAAAAAAATGGCACAGGTATTTTTTCTAGTGACAAACTTGCGGTGATAGAGGCATCAAATCCCAGCTTCAGTATAGTTGTATGTATTTCAGAATGTCATTTTTTTCTTAGATGTCTTTTGTTTTGTATATTTTGTTCTCAGCACCATCACATATTACATGTTTCTCTCTGCTTTCAGGATATATATTGGGAAGCGTCTAACCTCCCACAACACCTACTGAGTAGGATGGTGGACACCTTGATGTGACCACCTAAGCATGCCTTAAAATGGGACCTTCTGATGACTGAGGGGAGACGTGGCCATGTGAAACGGTCCAATTTGATTGAGTTAAGGATCTGTCATTGCTGTTTCGTGGTGTTTACTCCTGAACACAACAGTGACCAATCCTGCTGGCCTGGAGATGACTGTTCTGCTGCTTTCTGCTCCTTAAATCTGCACGTTGGGGAACTGTAATGTACGCCATTGCCTTTTTTCGTTTTGCAGTGAGAGATCACTTTTGATTTAAAATGATTTATACATTTTTCTTCTTAATCAGCTTTGAAGAAAGGAAAGTGTTTTGACTTGTAACTTACATTTATTTGTCCTCATTAGATTGCTAAATTGTTGTGCAGTTGTAAATTGTGATAAGAAAGCATTATTAAGCACATATATGGTCCATGTTGTTCATCCTACACACAATAAAAGCTGGAAATGCACATATGACCCTGATGATTTATAAACCAGTTAACACGGAGAAAAAGGGAAAGAACCACATGCAGTTGAACACAATTAAAATTTTATTTAACTTTGGTCAAAATAATAAACAAGTGAATACATTGCCACCATGTTAGGAATCAATGGACAAAGACAATGCATTTGTTTTAATGTCATCAGTATATGTTGTGTAGTCAACCTTCATTTCTGCATTCACAACTACGGCGATAGCATCCACATTTTAAAACACGTGGCTCAAATTTGGGTGACATCCCTAGTTAATCAATAAGGGCACATGTATGAGGCCTGTCTGAATTCCCTATTACATGATTAGGAGGCACTCTATCACAAACTGTATGGTGTGCAATTCTCCTCCTTTGTGTTTTCATAGACAGCCACATATAGCAGCAGTATATGAGGACGTAACTCTATAAAATAGGATTTACAAATAATGCACATGAGGTCTGTAAAACGTTTGGGGACATAACTTGTAGCTGTCACTGATAAAAGTAGGTATTAAGGCTGCAGATTCCCTGTGTCCTGGGCCCCACCATGTGCCATGTAGTTTCCAGCCTGCATCCTAACACATGGTCAAAAAACACAAACACATTATCAGCTGTCTCCAACAGTAGTTCAGAAACCGGTCGCCCCAAATAGTATTTCCATAACAAGTTTGCTTGAGATCTGCTCAAAGACAGTGGTGTGACTGGACATTTTTCCACCTCTCTACAACATAAAAACATGCAAAGCAATAAACATGTTTTAATACATACTTCTAAATTTAAAAACACATCTGTAGTTTTAGTTTCTTTTATTATGTGGACGACAAGGTGTACTTGAGTAGATACAGTCAGTGAAATTATGTCACCTTATTGACGGGGGGGGGTAAAGTAAGAAGAGGAAGGGGGAAGAAAAGAAACAAGTCCACTTTCCAAATTCACGGCCACTTCCACCAGTGGTTTGGCCTGAATACATGGCCAATGGGGGAATGTTACAGTTAGGCTTATTGGCCATTCATCCGTGCTTCAGAGCGCCCAAAAATCTTTGAGATGATGTTACAACTTTGACAAGACGTCATTTTAAGGGCTTTCCGATAGTTCTGTCGTGAAATCATGAAATGAAGGCTTAAAATGTCAACACAAACACCAACGTTCAAGAGTTTGACCTTGAGAGAGTGCCATTCCGTCAATAAGACCCGAATTGGGCTTTCTGGGTCGGGGGGGGGGGGGGGATGTTGATTGCCCTGGTGCCAAAGGCAAAAAAAACCTAAGCTCAGACTCAAAAAAAAACAGGCCTATGGATCAACCTCCTGTGAAAAAAAAAAAAAAAAAAAAGTAGACACGTGCTTTCGAATTCTTCACCAGGAGGACAACGAGGCTGTTTCTTCTTATACAGATAGACAAGTAGTAGGCTTAACTACACAGGTACGGTAAAAGCCCTATCCTCTGGAGCCCCAAATCTTCTAGTTGATTTTGTCCTGGAAAATGTACAAGTTGTTGGTGGCTGCCACAGCTATCACGTTATCTTTGGGGTGCCAGGCAGTGTGGAGGATCTTCTTGTTGAAGTCCAGGCTGTCCACGCTGATCTCGTCCTTCTTCCTCTTGCCACCAGTGGACACTTTGCGCGGTTTGAGCGTAGCCCGAGGTTTGCTGCTCTCCCGGGACGCCTCCAGTGTGATGTCCCGCCTAGTGTTGCGGTCAAACATTCGGAAGAAGTTGTTGTAGGAGCCGGTCATGATGGCACTGTTGAGGAGAGAGAATAAAAAAAAATATATATATATATATTCGTCTAAATGAACTAGAAAAAGCCAATTTGATATTTCAGGAACACAAAACAATAGAACATACTACAAAAGAATCTGCTTTCCTATGCAAGAGCAAGGACACGTACCTGTCACTGCCATTCCAGCAGCACTCGAACTTGTCAAAGATGCAGTCGTTTTCATACAAGGAGCACAGTTTACTGCGAAGGTATTCATGGACCTGAAACAAAACACATTACTCAACGTAAATATTCACTGGAGCCTCACCTCCTCCTCGCTGTGGATAGACCCGAGTGTAAAAAGGACTCATACAGCGAACATACTTGGTCTGAGTATTGCACTTTTTCCATCAGCGAATGGTTCTACTCATAGCTTTATTTCTAACAGAACGGCCCTCAGATTGCTTGGCTAACCAGACACCTGTGAACTAGTCAAGTTCCACTTTACGTCGTTGTCTGTCCAAAATCTCATCATTTTATCTTAACAGACATTTGTGTCAAATTTGAAGAAACACCCTCCTGGCGTTCCTGAGATATCGACTTCACGAGAATGGACAGGATGCACAACGTACGGACGGACATCCCAAAAAACATAATGCTGATCCGGCCACGATGCAAAGCCTTATGACACTGTTTGAGGCCTAATGCTTTCTCAGTCTATGTAAGAAATGTCTTATGTGAGGCCGGATTTAAGCTTTCACTTGAATCAAAGCTCAGACATCATTATTTTAATCTATAATTCTGTTACATGTTATTTTTACAAAAGATAGGAACGCAATGTCTAAGTCACGCCTGATGTTGCCTTACAAACAAAAGACTGATCCCAGCCTCTTGCACACAGCGAGGCCAACAGCTTATCAACTACACACTAGTTTGTGATCGGTTCTCAGTATCGGCCGATTACCAAACCCGGGTATTAGGACTGAAAAAGTCAAATCAGTGCATCCCTATTTACAACACTGTGGGGCTTACTTTGTTCTCACGGAGGATTAATGCTATATTTGAAGATAAGTATGTTTATTCACCTGATACGTCTCCACTGGCCTGTTCTCCATGTTGAGGTCCCAAACTTTGACGGAGAGATAGTCACGTGTCATCATATAGCGTCCGCTGTGACTGAACTTCACGTCCGAGATGGAGGAGATGATCTCAGAGAAAAAAGACCGGCTGCTCGGATCCTCTGGCTCCTCAAAGACTGTAATAAAGATTAACAGCGTGAAAATCATTCCCAGCTGGCCTTCGTAACATATCGAAGCAAAATCATATCCAATCTGGAACGTGTCAAACACTGTTTACCAGATTTAAAAATCACTAAAACCTTCAAACATTTCTGTCCAATCAAAGTCACAAAACGTTATCTATTTAAACTAATCAACAAAATAGAGAAAGCAGTAAATCTACGTATCAGATGAAGTGTTACTAACGGTCCACTCATTTTCCATAAATGACTTGATGAGTTATCAACATTTTTATCAATTAATTTCCCCACTGATTGACTAATGAATTGACTTAACGTCACCACTTACACTTTGAGTGCCTATCGCAGAGCGCCGCTGCTCGCATGTCACACAGGCGGATGGTGCCTTTGCTACTGCTGTACACAAATACATTGCATTGGAGTGGATGGCACTCAGCAGCTGTGATTACTTCCGTCAGTTCCTCCATGTTGGCGGGCTTGATGTCTACAATATCTGGGAACACAAGTGTTAAGGAACGAGCAGTCTTATGTGTCATTAAGGTACAATGCAGAGATCATTGGCCTATACGTCATATATATCCACCAGCTGTCTTCTGGTAAAGGAAAAAAAGGATACTAAAACTTCTGTCTGTGATTTCCAAGTGCCATAGATTTATTCTTAGGTCATCTGCGGAGAGGTACGTTTCATGGTCACTATTTACAGAAATGGAATTAATGTGATAGGTGTGCGCATTTGCAAAGATCCTCCGTGGGCTTGCTTCTACCATGAGATCCATTGGCATCAGTACTGGTACCTGAAAATACAACATGCAAGTTTAGACAAGATTTTAAACAAAAAATAAAAAAGAGAGAGGTCTCACACATGACTAAACATACCCGTAAAGAGGTGATTCTAAAGGGGTCTCGGAGTCGTCCATCTTCATCTTTCAGGTTGTAACCTTCTGCTCTTTTATCTCGTTCACTTATTTTCCACAATTTGATAGTTTTATCTGACAAAAACAGGAAAGAGAGTTGTAAAATATCTAGAGGTGAAGAAGAGTGATCTGATATTGATCAAGTTAAGTCACAGCGTCATAATTCTAGCACCAAACAGTCAAACCAGGTAGAAAGTAAACCCTTACCATTTGTCGAAAGTAGAAAGTGAGCAGCATTTTGTTGGGGTAGCCATCTTATTTTATTAATTTTTTCCTCAATTTCTAAACTTTTCAAATAGTCAAATTCTGGCTCGTGACTCTGAAAAGTGCTATAGACGTTGTACTCCCCGCGCAGATGTGGACGATTCTTAGACTGAAAACAAATATGGCAAACATGAGTCACCAGGTATATATACACACATTATCACTGCAACACAGTCCAGCAAATAACTTTTGACATATTATTGTTGATGAAGATACTCATTTTGACACTCCGCGTGAATCTTACCTCCTGTTCATGTTGAAATATCACTACTCTGCCTCCTTTATCTCCAGTTGCAAGCAATTCTCCAGAATAGTTGAACTCAACTGTTGAGATTATGTCAGCTGAAAAAGGACACAAACCAGAGTGAATCCCACTTACAGAGAGCTAGAACCGTGTTAGACTGCAGACTCAATCTGGTGATTATAGACATTTTATTAAAATAAAACATCTGGTACACTGACAGCCAAAAACGTGTACACCCACTCATGTATGAATGAATGAAAACAAGAATGATGTCACTCGACAATTTATGGACGCAGCACATTGACGTCATGGACACGGTCGCTCCCCTTTAATAGCTTAGCCACCACCTAGCATACAGCTAGCTAGCGACATACAGTCATTTACAGAGGAAAAGGGGCTTTCCGTGCAACCGATCCACAAACAGACCCACACCGATCACCGCAGCGGCCTTGCATTGAAACCCTCGCGACCATCTTAGCTATCGTGCATCTCACGTGAAGCCCACGGAGCATCATCATCAGACCATCTAGCTAGCTGCCCATCGTTTTAGCCTAGCCGCCAAGCTAACGTTAGCCACATACCTTCCGCAACATCTTCATCTATCGCTCCTTTCACTTGAGA